GTCCAGTTCCGCGGTCATCTAGAGGGTAAGGCCAAGTTAGCCTCGAAAAACTAGGTGTGGTCAATAGATCGAGGCAGTATTTCACCCCGGGCATCGCCTGTTACTTTACAAGGCGCAAGTTCAGACCCCTATGGAATACTGCTACAGCTTCTCCCCAGTAACAGCTTCTGGACAGCATTCAACGGCTAGCTGTCCGAATTGTTGACTGCCCTGTTATCTCGGACCGGTTGGAATGGATGGATGTAGCCTCGTTATGTGTTCTCTATCGCATTTACCACGGGGAGTGTTCTGAGGAATTGTTCGATTTAATCCCCGTCGCTTCTTTTAGCCAACGTCCTACGTGAAAGCATTTTCATCCCCATCACATAGATGGTTGGCAGTCAACAACTATGCAATTTACGCGAAACTTTCTGCCCCTCACAGCAAAACTTTTGAATATGATCTTCCGGCGGCGGTATTCCCGAACCGATTCGACATCCAAACCTTCAAGACACGACCGTACTCCTTCTTAAAAAGCCGAAACGCACCTGTGTCTCCTCTGGTGCTGCGGGTGTCATCTGCTCGCACCTCAGCACCCGCAAACGAGCAGATGGAATGTGTGGAATGTGGAATGAATGACTTCGGTAAGAAACTTAGTTGGAGTAAAGTTAAAGAGATTTCAGTATATCTTTAATGTCCGGAAAATTATACAAAGACTCGATAGTTCTATGTAGAGATAATAACATACCTCCACACTACCAGACTTATTAAAGGAGCGTTTTTTTGCGAGAGGGAAATCGTCAAATGACTTTTCCCACCCAGGGCCGGGCGGGAGGGAGTGTCAGACTCTTACTGAATAAAAACCCACCCGTTCTCCTGCTCTGGGCCGAGGTCGCGGTGCCTCATTGTGCTTACCCCGCAACCTCGGCTGAACATCAGCCCTATAGAGCCCCGTATGTGGTGGTCTTTTGGCTCTTGGAGTATCGCGCAGAACGCTACGCGCCGTACGCTCGGGTCTGGTTCAGGTCGGGCCGCGAGCTACGCTTACTCTCCGTCCGTTGCGATGGCCGGAGATCAACTTTCGATCCCCGATGCCCGGAATGTCGCCTACCGCGGCAGCTGGGCCGCGAGGAGGATAGTTCCCTCACGCGCTCCGCTTCCTCCTTTGCGAGCATCACTGCTTCGCAGAAAGAGGAGACGGCTTCCCAGTTCCTTTCGCTACGAACAATGGCCTCGACTAGAGCCGGGCGCGAGAGTTCGAAGAGCGTAAGTATTCAATCTGCTGCCAGCGAGTCTGATTTCGAAATTGAGGATAATTAATAAAGGTCAACAAAAATATCACTATTTTAAACATTTCTTGATTAATTATGCATGTGATAAACATTTTTTAATAATAAAATTTTAGTAATAACCCATTATTGATCGTAGAATACCCCTCATTGTTTTCATTTTCTCTCAATTATTTTGTTTCAGTATTTACAGTTTTGCCAAACATACACTATTTACTATAAGAATTAGGTATTGCATGATACAAATTTAATATTCAGTTACTTTCCGCATTATAAAAGCAATTTTTATAAATACACCTACTATACTTAATTAAATAGCTAGCTAAAAATACGTAACTCTATTTACAAAAAAGGATTTTTCGTTAAATAACAACGTGATTACACTTACAACTCTAGATTATAACGAAATATAAGAGAGTGCAAAGCCGTAAGTAGAGTTAAATTAGTTAATATATTTAAAAATACAATAATAAAAAGCAATAATAGTAGTTACTCCTGCAAATATGCGATGTGTTCCGTGGAATAAAGAAGTGACCGTGTTTTTTTAGATTATCTCGAAGTACATCAATCTGTTCCCCAATTAAATAGCACGTGTAGTTGAAGGCAACTGTGACCTGCAATTTTCTCTTTGAAACATATTTCTAGACCTCATAATAAAAATATAGGACAGTTTTTTTAAGCTCCTGAAAAGTTGGTGAAAATCACTTACTTCCTTTTTCCAGGAATGGTGCGAAATGTTTGTTATTCATCTAAATTTATTTTATCACCTTCAAAGTATGCTCCTTCAGAAACGATACACTTACGCCAACGAATACTTAATCCAATCACCGAAACTTTTTTAAACGCTTTTTCCGGAATTGAGTTCAGTGCTCGCCGCGAATTCTCCTTTATGTCTTCTAACGATTGAAAACGGGTGCCACGAAGGGGTAATTTGAGTGTGGGAAAAAGAAAGAAGTCGGCTGGAGCTATCTGGTGAATATGGTGGCTGCTCGATGGTGTTTGTTGAGTGTTTGGACAAAAAATCGTTTACAATGATGGCCTTGTGCGAAGGTATTATCGTGATGCAAAATCCAAGAATTTTCTTTCCACATTTCTGGCCTTTTTCGTCGAATTTGTTCTCTTAAACGCCGCATAACGCTCAAATAATATTCTTTATTTACCGTTTGAGAGTGCACAACACCGCGATAGTCAAAGAAAACAGTCAACATGACTTTGACTTTTGATCGACTTTGACGTGGTTTTTTCGGTTTTGGTTCAGTTGGAAGGCGCCATTCCGAAGCTTGTTGACTAGTTTGCATGTCAAACTCGTAAACCCACGTCTCGTCACCAGTAACAATGCGTTTCATGAATGTTGGGTCGGTATTGACTCGTTCTAGCATGTCCTCAGCGACTTTCATGCGATTTAGCTTTTGAAGAAAATTCAGGTCTTTTGGGACTAGCCGAGCGGCAACACGTTTCATACCCAAATTATTTGTTTAAATTCGAATTTTTATTTTTTTTGTTGTTGTTAGATTGGCATAACTGTTTTCCATTTTGGCGCGGAATTTGAGTTGCATCTGTTATTTATATTAAAAACAGTGCTGTTTTTAGTTTTATAATATCAAGTGTGTATTGCGAATTTCATAATGGACAAAAACATCGAACAAAGAGTTTGTCTTAAATTTTGCATCGCCAATGAAATTTCGTGTTCGGAGGCACTCAAAATGTTACAGAAGGCTTACGGTGAATCGACTTTATCAAAAACACGTGCTTATGAGTGGTACAAAGCGTTCAAAAGCGGTCGAGATGTGATGGAAGATTTGCCTCGTTCTGGTAGGCCATCAACGTCTGCAACTGAAGTTAACATCGCAAAAGTGAAGGAAATAGTGACTGAAAATCCTCATTCAAGTTTGAGAGAGATGGCCGCCAAACTTTCTGTATCTCACGAGTCGAATTTGGAACCATAAAAAAAACATTCATTCCCGATACTTTGTTGACTGAATGTATATCACTGAACACAAAAACAAAAATCGGTTATTTAAGTAAATCGTTGCACCGTGCGTTGCACAAACCATTTCAAACACACAATACGTAATCTAGCGATACGTCGGTCACTTGTACTTGTCGCATCTCGAGCCACACACCGGCTCGAGATGCGACAAGTCCAGCCACGAGAATCGCTCCGCCTTGTTTCCGTCTATCCGCCCGATCGCAGCGAAGTATTTTATATCCCGGTTAAATAATTTCCAAATCATTTATAGATTCATTACAACCTGACTCAGTGATCGCATATAAATCTGAATTCAATGACTCAATATTAACTTTGAACTCTTCCAGCTTAGTGCGAAGTCCCCTCACGTTTTGATAAAAAATATCAATACTATTTATTTGTGATACTTTTGGTTGATTTTCGAAACCAAAACCACTCACTAAACTCCGCATTAGTAGGCAACACGTCACAAACGAAAAATAATCTCGTTCAGTGCTGTGTTTGATTTTGTCTATTTTAATGTTAACATCCAACCCAGAAACATTTCTTACATGGTCCGTTATCGCTTCTATTGTCGTTTCTGTATGCAAACGCCAAACGTGTATAATTTTTTTCCTCTCGGTTGTTTGAATTCCCTTTAATTCGATGTTCGTGCCTACCCCACCTCTCTAGGTTGTCGGTTAGATTTGCGTCTGCGTACCGTCGTCCAGCCAGATTCCTTATCATTGTCTACAGTAAACGAACCAGCAGATGCTTTTTCGTCGGTAACACTTGTAGAGGCTACCGGTTTCACAGCAGATTTCATGGCCCTACCTTTGTTTACCTTCAAAGTTTAGTCGTTTTTGTAGAACTTTTCGAATTGTTTTCTACGCCAACGATTTCCGCAGAAATGGTTCTAGGTGTAGACTTACTCAGCATCTCCGTACTATTCTGAGTAAGCCTTGCGTCAACTTTTTCTTCAAGCTGTTCAAACTTTTTATTAAAATACTTGAACATTGAGTTCTTTTAATTAATATACAATAATATCCCATTGAAGTCATTTTAAAACCTTTATGGAATTGAAGTGGTTTATAAAATACTTTATAAAAAAATACACGCTTATTATTTACCTCAAAAAGTTTCAACAATAGTATGATAAAGTATCGATCAGAAATAAATATCTGTAGCGTATCCTAAATGTCTAGGAAAACAAAAACCATTTCTTTCTATTAGGTCAAAAACAAAAAATCATTATAAATAAAAATCCAGTAAACATTTATTTGTATTTTTATTTATTACAAGAGTGTTATAAAATGAGAAATTTACAAGATTACCTTATAACCATTTAATTTCTAAAGTTGTAGAAAGTGACCCCACTTTGTACAACTTCAATAATCAAGTGATCTGGCGATATAGTCATGTATTAGGTACTTATATAGTTTAATTATAACTGACTTATGTATTTGTAATTATATTATCTAGTCGCGACTGAGGCCCCAATATGTAAACTGCGCTAACAACCGCAGTGAAGTACTTTACTCAGCATCTTTAAGTGGAACTGCAAAAACAAACAAATTAACGTTTACACATTAATCCTGTACAAAATATTTTCTTCTTTAAAATAAGTGTAGGACCCAAAAACAGAGACTTGCTGAAGAAACATTGTTTCTGTTTTCAATTGAATGAAAACCGTTAATTTGTTATGTTCTATTTTTTTATTTACGATGAATCTAAACTGTAAAATCATCGAATTTTAAAACCTGATTCTAATTTAACAAATTTAATTAATACTTGCCTCCAATATTAGTGTCGTGATAATCGAATGCCTTTAAGAAGTCTGGCAGTGAACAACAGTAGGTGTACTTGTCACTAACTTTGAACCACGGTTCATCGTCACTGTTACAGACGTTTTCACATTTAATATCCGAGTCTGTTGGTGTGCGATCGTTGACGTAGATAATCGCAAAAATTTCATCTTCATCGAAATTAAGTACCTGAAATTTTCGACCATTAATAGACAATTTGTCTTTATTATATTCAAATAAGTTTAGTGCAATTTCTACTGATTGACTGGTCTACCTATAATAGGCGAGGTCTAGTATTCCTGCAGTTTTACAGTATTTGCTTTGTTGTTATTTATTAATTGGAAGAAAGGATATTTAATATCGTGGGAAAAAAAAATCGTAAGAATATTTAATGAGTAGCAAATACTCAATTGACAGCTAAAGGTTGTATGTCGTATGTTGGATTAATATTCTTTAAAAAATTGTCATCTAATTCTTATTTGTAGTAATTCTGATGTTGGAGCATATGCTAATCGTAATCAAACGCATCTCACCATGACATACCTTCCATAAATATCGTGGTACAATAGCTCCATTCTTCCTCTGCCACGTGTGAGTTCCAGACCAAGCAACAAATTCATCGTAAATTGTCTGTTCTCTTACCATTTTATTGATAGATTCCCATGATGTCTAAAATTTAAAATCTTTGATTAATAACTTGAACATGTATAATAGGATTAAACTTAAGTTTCATATATTTAATATTACCTGAGAAGCATTACAAGGGCGCCAAACTGGAACTACATTCAAAGGATCGATAAATGTAGTATTCATCTCAGCGGCATATCTAAAGTCTTTTGCTTCCACCAGCTGAGATTTTGCATAACAACAAGATGACAGTTTATTTTTACAAGTAAAAGCCTTCTCATTTAGACTGTTGCCAATACCAGGGTAGGTGCGCCAGGCAATAGCAGAACTGACCTTATCGCTCTTCGACGTTACGGTGTTGCGAATGTAATGAGGCATACGCACACTATTATCAAAACAGACTTCATAAGATTCTAAGAAACTACCAGTATTGTATCCTACTTTTAATAATTCGGAGTTGCCTGCTAAACACTTAAAGTTCTTTTTAGCAACGGTGGGTTGGATTCCGTGTATGCATTGTAGATCAGAAAGTTTATATTCATTCCCTTCTACTAGAAAAACGTCTTCTTTGTAACAAATTGCTTTTAGTTTGGTCTGCTTTGGGAATTTTTTGAAGGAATTTGGCGCATTTTGGTGATTTGGACAAGACAGTGTAATTGTTTCTTCTAGTTCTACTACTGAGAAATATTTTGAGGACTCCCATGTAGGCCAAGCTCCATTTTCGTCGAGTGCGAGCGGCATATACACGGCATCTTTCAAGTTTTTGGGTATCAAGCATACTGTAACAAATACAATTTAATTTTTTACTTGTTCATAATAAAAAGTTACACCAAGGTCAATATTTGAAAGTGGTACGGAATTAGTAAGATCCGAAACGTATTGTTTATTAGTTGTCAAGGTTTTGTAAGCATTGTTTTGCAAAAAAAAAATTAAGTGAAATGTTTATTAAGTCAAAAGTTGGAATTTTATTGGCTTATGGCAAAACATTTTATTTGGGGGTTTGTTTTTCTTGCAATTTTTCATAATTTAAACCAAAACAAATCAATCATCAGCCGATTTATAGTTCTTATTTCCATAGAAAACAAAATATCAAATAATTATGATTTCACATTCATTTCTGGACTACATATTACGTAAGTTACACTTACCAGATGACTTTACATTAAATTCTTTCAATACTGAGCCGAATGGATTAGAAACGTTGCAAGTGTAATGACCCCATTTGTAGATAATACCTAGATCTTTCACATCGCTTTCGGGTATCTCTTTACCATTATATTTCCATTGAACCTGCAATTAATTAAACTTGCGTTTAGTCTCATAGTAAATGTTGTAAAATGTTAGTACCTCTCATCTAGTGGAAGAAAACTTATCAAGTGAAATCTTTATGCGAGATGGAGAGTCAGACTCTTACTGACTCCTTCCTTCGTTCTCCTGCACTAAGAAGGGGATGATTGTGATTGACAATTGCATTTGCAACCATTTCTCGTCGTTTTAGTTGGAACTCGGGGCCGGTGCTATTCGGTCAGTGAGCTACCCTTGCTCGACATCCGCAGGCCCACGCTTACAGTGGCCAGTGATAGCCGACCGAGTCTTACCGACGTCCGAACGTGCTGCCGAGTAGAGCGTGAGGAGTGTGGCCTCTCACGTGCTCCATTATTTTTTTGCAAGCATGACTGCTTTGCAAAACGAGGAGATAACTTCGCAGTTTCTCTAGCTCTACACCAAGGCCGTACTCGGGAGGTATCAACCACCGATCGCTTTACCACGTATACCGCAGTGCTCAGCCTAGGCTGTAATGTTATATTCGTTTCTATTCTAGAAGTATATGTAGTACTAAAAACTTACGTGAGCTTGTGGTTTTGCCTTACTATCGCAGTTAGAAACGAGTTCTTGCACATCGCCACGCCAATCATTAAGAGGATTATCTCCCGATAGTTTGGGTGGGCCCCCAACATTTACTATATACGTGTGTGTTTCCGAGTGTCCCTGCTTATCACTCACATGACATGTGTAGTTACCATCATTTGAAACTGATGCGTCTCTTATTTCAATGTATTTTTTATGCAACTCTTCTGTATTCTGTTGAGTTAAAATTGCCATTAAAGTTTTATTCGTAACAAAATTGGGAAAATATTCATACGATGCCAATTTTGGAATATACTTACATCGAACCATTTAAGTGATTGAGATTTTGAACGATATGCTTCACATTCTATTTTTTTACTTTTACCATATAAAATGTACACGAAATGTTGTGTACCGAAGGTGCTGGGTCGTTCTGTATAAATAAAATATTTATTTATTTATTTATTTAATAATTTTTGTACACACAGTAAGTTGGACAAGAAAAATAATACAACAATTAGGTACAAAGGCACAGCTTATTTCTTCAGAAATCTCTTCCAGCAGGCCCGTTATGGGAGAGTTAGAATAAAATATTATTTATTAAGACTTTAAAAAATACAAATACTTTTTATTTGATTTGCGTTATTGTGTTTCGTAACTTTTTGTGTTGAATAAATGATAGAGAAAATCTTACTTTCCAGTTTAAGTTCTGTCGTGGTGCTGACTGATCCAAGATAGTTTTTAGCTTCACAGATGTAATTTCCAACATCAATTTTGTTCGGATTCTGAATAACCAACGATCCATTGTCAAACGAGTACTTCGCATCTGAAAGCAAATTGCAAAGAATTGAAAAAAAAATGCACATCATCATCGATAGCTGCAAAACATTCAATGCTGAACTGAAGGCCTCTTCTTTCATAGAAGGGTTTGTCATCGTCATCACACTTGAAGGTCGCATCAGGGCTACTACAGTAATGAATACGCTGCTGTCGCATCCTTTGCGAAAGAATTTTATGTTTGTTTTTCTAGTCGAAATTTAAAGACGCTACAGCTTAATACCAATAGAATGCTTATAAGCCCTTCAATCGTAAGCCTAGGTCGGATTGGCGTAATAACGCTAACAAATACAAATGCGTGTTTCATCCTATTGTTTTTGTATGAGATGAATGATGTTGGGACTATTGCTTACTACATCAGGCTATTATTATCAATTATAATTTGGGTGTCAAGAAAGTACCCATTCTTTTTTTTAATTTCTATAGGACCTTAAAGTCGTTACGTCTGACACTTACTGGGCATGATAATAGCTCCATTTCGTTTCCATGTAATAGCAGGTTGTGGGACCCCTACAACTTCGCAAGGTATTTTTATTGCTATATCACCTTCTATGGCTTCTACAGATTTAGATTTTGTAACGATTTCTGGTTGTGCTGCAAAAATTCAGTACTTGTGAGATTAAATTAGTTTATAGATATATTTAATTATTTTTTTTCTGGTAATAATTGGAAAAGACGATATTTATTTAGGACTTACATTCCACAGTAAGACTAGTGACGTGTGCGGTTTTTCCAGCTTCGTTTTGAACCAAACACATGTAGCGACCTGTGTGTTTGTTTTCTGCTTTAGCAATATGAATTACATTTGTCGTTCCGTCGATTCGCACGAATTGTTTTCCCGGGTTATTCACGTACCATGCTATATTCGGTTTTGGCCAACCTTTGACGACCCTGTAAGTTATAATAATTACCCAAATATCCTTATTTGGTGCGGTTTCTAATCGAATTACTGTCAATTTATTTTAAAACAGTAAATAATATTTTATTTTTGCCCGAATACGGTGTTAGATCTCATCCCACACGCGAACAAAACGGACTTTATTTTGTCTTAGAGTCATATTTACGAAAACTCGATTCATCACCAGCCTATAATTCCCCTCTGCTGCGTTAAGGACTCTTCCTAAATGAAGTAGAATAAGATTGTATGACGATTTAAAACAAATAATTACAAGCTATTATAAGCCAGTTTCCTCACATTATTTTTAAATACGCTTAGACATATATCTCAAAACGTCACAAAGGTACCCGTCAGGTTAAGAGCCTGCATCCTTAAAATGGAAGCGTGCGATTTAACGTCTTCTTGGCCTCTAAGACAAAAAATACAAAATATGTCATTTACAACTAATAAACTCCCACCTGCATTCAATATCCACGGGCATTCCAAGTTCAACTTTCTTAGTAGCAACACCCTGAACTTCTGGTTTCTCTGTAAAACAACAATGGTACCAATATTATTTTGAAAAATACCGTAATGTGTAAAGTATTTTACTGCTACCACTTTATAAATGTATCATCACCACACATTAGTACCAAATTGTATATTTAATAATTCATTGCAATACTCACGTTGAATGAAAGCTTTGAAAGTCGTGGACACTGATCCAGCCTCATTTGTTGCGACACAGTCATAGGACTTAGTATCTGTTACTTTCGGATCTCTTATTACAAGCGTTCCATCTTCTACCTCATACTTGGAGCCTGAAATAAATATATTTGCGCTTTATTATTATTCTTTCGGATTGTAACTTCTGCCGTCTTTCGTAGCGACAGAAAGTGTAAAATTTTGGCTGTCTTAAAACTATCCCATTCCGTATTCAGCTCCAAGCCAGACCGCGACGCTTTACCCGTAATTCCGGTCTTATACCTTTCCCTGGTTTTGATTAGAGTGAACTTTGCACAAATTTTGATGCGATGAAATAATTTCTTAAGTGTAGTTTCTTACTTGGCACTACAATAGGTCGGCCATCCGTTTTCCAGGTGATACTTGGTTTAGGGTCTCCAACGGCGACGCATGGTATCTTCAGAGTAGCATCTCCTTCAGTGCTTCGATAGACAAATGAACCATCAGATGAACTGGATACTATCTTGGGCATTTCTGTAATGAAACAGTCTGTTATATTTTCTATTTATATTCATTACGGAATATAATGTGAGGATCTTGTAATTTTAAAAAAAAAACATAAATATTGAAAAATATTTAAACAAAATAGTTGGGCATCCTGTTCCTTTTTTCATTGTCGATTTTTGTCAACGTCGTACTCTACCACAGCAAATGAAGTTCCGTATTGTAGAATAATATTTTCAAAGAACCATAACAATGTTACAAAGAGATTTTATACAAAAGAAACCAAAGACTGACCTTGAAGGATTAACGTTGTAACCTTCTCATCTTTAGCCAATGCGTTTTCTGCAACACACTTATATTGACCACCGTGTTTGGCTTCTACATTATTAATACGTATCACGGTTCCAGTTTCAGCCAGTGGTATAAACTTTGAACTAGATTTGCCTCTAAAGTGCCATTTAATAGTTGGAATAGGCACACCATTTACTCTGCAAAAAAAAAAAAAATGTACATTGATGAATTAATTTGGAAAAAAAGTATTTTTCATACTTTGGCAATGCGCTATTAAAGACCTTGCAATGCAATTCTTGTAATCGACACATTTTCTGGATAAAATAATGTATGTACATTGATGAATTGTTTTGGAGTAAAGTTTTTTTTCATATTTTGGTGGTGGATGCCATTTTTACCTGTATCTGCTAATGCGCCAGAATCGACCTTGTTATTTAATACTTTAATTAATATGCGTAATATCTTCTGGTTAAGAATTTGGAAGTGGTGGAAGGAACTTAACTTAAAATTGAAACAGTATGTTATTTGATTGATTTCTACTTACTTGCATTCTAAAAAGGCAGGCCTACCCTTGATCGCTTTTATGTTAGTATGCATTTGTATTTTCGGTGGAACTGAAAAAATATATTGAATAACAATTAGATAATTTGGAATTTTTGAAGTAATATAATAAATTATTTAGTATTAAGAATAAACAGCGCTAGTCTCAGAGGATTCTGTGACCCATTTTCTGTGCCTATAGTGTTTGATCACTAAGGTATTTTTAGTGAGACAAAAATTCGGTGTATACTCTTAAAAGCAAACCAATTTGAAGGTGTACTATGACAAGACATACATTCATATTATTACCAAAATTTGCAATAAATATTTGTAAACCGATTAACTTACCTAAACCAGTTACTTCAACTCGTTGACTCAATTCCTTTTTGACATTTCTATTATTCACCAGATAAGCGTGGCAGACATACTTTCCAACTGAGTTTAGATCAACTTTTTTTATTCTTAGTTGAGTTTTGTCTGCTGTTATTGAGTACTCGTTAGAATTGGCTACTTCTTTCTTTGTACCTGACATTTCATCAATAAAGTACCAATGAATATCCATAGGAAGCCTTGATTTGATGTCACATGTTATGGTACCTGGCTTGCCGTATTCCAGATTCACACCTGAATCAAAATCATTATTTTTACCTTACTCAGACTCAGAGTTATTTAATGTTTACTAAAGCCAGTTCTTAGCATTTGGTTTCGGGATGGAATGGTTACTTAGGAATAGTAGGTATAATAGGTAACTATAAAATATTTTGGAGTAGGTATGGAAGTCCTTTTGGTAATCACAAGAACAAAATCATTTCTATTAATTTTTCATTCGTATTTATACTGACTAAAGACCCTAATAAATGAGGCAAGAGAGAGTGTCAGACTCTTACTGTGCCCCCATTCCTTCTTCTACTCTAAGCCGAGACGGCGATACCTTACTGTGCTTGCCCCGCAGTCACGGCAGAACATAAGCCCTCTGTCTTGGTCACATTAAGGGGCGCGCGGAATACTACGCTCTGGGCGGTCAGCGATGATACCCTTGCTCGCCATCCGCAGACCTACGCTTACATTGACCATAGATCATCGTTCGACCCCTGATGCCGAGAGTGTCGCATACTGCGGCTGCTGGGGCCCGAGAAGGATAGCTCTCATGCACTCCGCCTCCTTCTTTGCGGTGATAAAAAAGGAATTTTTAAACTTACTTGGACGGATATTAACAACAGTGAAAGCATCTTTTACGTTGACTTTAATCGAAACTTTTTTAGTTCCCTCTTCATTAACTGCAACGCAAATATAGCTATCTTCTTTTGCGACAGGCATCTCCAGGTAACTTATGTAGTCATAAGGGTATTCAATCATGGAACTCTGAAAATTAATCAACATAAGTAATATTATTATTTTGTTCTATCTCTACTTGTTAAGGATTCGCATTCAGAGAGCGATCAGGCAATGTACATATTATTAAAATAATTGATGAAATCCACGTCAATTGCGACCAGTCAGAAGTCAATCTTGAGTTCTAATTATTGGTAAGTGTTATTGTGTTTTTGCGAATAAGTTGAATTTCTCAAATACCTATCTATTACGTCGCGCAGTCAAATCTACTGTCACTTAATGAGTTTTCTAACCAAACAGTTAGGTACGCTAGTAAGTCGATGAAAACATTACTTAATAACTTAAACTTTAAACAATTTCAACCAAATTCTTACCAATTTTTAATTAAGAAAGTAAAAATTTTATCATTAAAGTAGACTTAAATATATTATTTTTGAACACTTACTTTAGAAGCTATCAGTTGTCCCTGTTGATTGTACCAAGATATCTTAGGCTTGGGGAATGCAGTCACTTTGCAAGTTAATTTCAAAGAACTGTTGTATTCTACGGTCGTTTCTCTTCCCTCGGAAATTACAGCTTTAGGCGCTTGTTTGTCTGGTAATTCTGAAAAAAAAGTTGCTTATTGTTAACAACACTATATTAAAAAAAATCTGTATACAAGTTTAACTATTAAATGATTAATAATTTTGTGTGTGCGACGTCTAACAACGTCAAAACTATACATCATTATATATTAGGGTTATATTATTGCATGTCTAGAAAAAAAAAACAGTTTGGAACAGCTATGTTTCGACAAGAATGGGTTGGCTTGACCGGAGTGATATCAGAGGCCATATCGTTCCGCTGCCCCCATCCCTCCTCAATCCCTAAAGCTTCGGAACCATAATTCCACAAACTCGGTATCTCCTCTGGTGTTCTCATCACTCAATCCGTAGGTCTGGTCGTTTGCCATAAAATCACATAAAACAAACTATAATTAACTCAATGTTATTGTTTCAAAATTGAGTGAAGATTAGCTTGGATTACGGACATTTTACTTTGAACTAGTTTTTTGTGGGGCCGTGGTGTCGCTCCGGTCGAACCGGCCCATTGCTGGCAAATAATGGTATTTCTAAGTGAAATTAACTTGACTTAAGAGTTAAGTTGAAAAAACTAACAGTAAATGCTAAGGAGATAAAATTGTGGGCTCTTGCCCTTCCTCTTCTAGTGGATTCTAGTAGCTTGTAGTGGAAATAAAATTAACTTACTTATGGGTGGCTCCTGAGGCGTAATAGGAATCTTCGCGATACGCTTTATAATGCGTCCCGTTGCTTTCACTCTCCCGATCACCTAAATTATAAATATTCATTTCATTACCTTTGTGTTACTGAACAATAACTATAGTATTACTATTACAATTATCATTTAATTAATACCTACCGCTACTTTGAATCTTTCAGTCGGTGTGATTAAGGCTGGCGTAATGTAAAAACCTTTTGAAATTTTTGTCAAAGTAAGATCTTGTCTGATTGGCTTTTCGTCCATTCCTAAGATCTGGGCTTTTAGTATTTCCACTGTTTGGCGTTCGTCAGAAACTAATACTGACAAATGGACATTTGTGTCTGTAAAAACAAAATTATATTACAAGTTTAGGTAACACGGTATTTGATTAGCAATAAGAAGAAATAATGATAAACAGATGAAACAGATGTCGATTGAAAAATAAAAATAGAAAGACGTTAAAGTTATAGTTGAACCAGCTCGAAGAACGTTCGTAACTAACATATTCATCCAACTAATGCGAGCTCTCGATTAGGCTAATGTTGGGAAGCACGATAGTTTTGTGAACTGGTCCCGCAGTGAAATCAAACTATGTTCAGAGATTGAATTAAATAAAAAAAAATACTTTTTTTCTTTTATTAATTCAATTCTTTTTTTAATTCAATCTCTGAACAGTATCTGATATTATGTGAGTACACATTTTTTGTTATTTGTTTATTTGTGCTTTAATGCACACGTAATAAACAATGGAACTTAATGCGATATGGCATTCTCTGCCATGAGAAACCAACGACACAAGTCTTGTGTAAAGATATAGTGACAGTTACAATTTAACATAATGTGAAAAAAGTTGTTTAAAAAATTACATAATACAATACAATATACCTAGACATACATGAATGTATAACTACGAGTAGGTATATACGATGAATACATAGAATAAGCGTTGCAGCGACTAAAATAGAAATAAAGTAAATTACATTTAAAGATAAAAGACTTGAAAAACATTAACTGACTTATTGTGTTTAATTCATTGGACAAAATATCCCACTATCGTACAAATATGACAAATACTTATATTATAAATGTGACTTTGTGATAATGTATGTTTGTTATTATTTGGTGTTAACGCCGTACCCATCACTATTATCGACCGTGCTCCATCACTACAAGCCGGCGGCCATGACAGCGCGCGAGTAAGCAGCGACGCGCGCGCCTGACGCCACGCCACTCCGCCATTACGCGCCCTCGCGATCGGACGCAACCAAACGAAACCATTAAATAGTCTACCACATGTTAACCTTTCATACAATTCAAATTAAAGTCTGTAAATTAATTCCTGAGTCTTCATTCAACAACAATACAAACATAATTTGGCGACCGTGACAACGACAATTTCTGTGCGGGAAGCGCGGAAAAACAACGAAGACATCGACAGAAGTACGGACCCGTCGAGGTTGGAAGAAGCGAATCCAGGGCCTGGCAGCCAGCTACCTCAGAATAAGGTGTGCCCGTTCCTTACTACCTTCTAGACTATTTCCGATTCTGATACCTACCTATTGTTTTGTGTGAGCATTGTTAGACTATTGCTGAGAATTTCGGTTGCGTGGGTCTAGCTTACTGGGTGGAGTCATTTTTACAGCTACCTAATCTGTACATTTTCATTCAAACGAACGATTACATATATTCTATAACTAATTTTTCACTGACTTGTTGCATTTCCCGCCTAAAGAGACGCCTACTTTTAAGTCTTTGGTCGTTTCTCTCCGTAACACTGCACGCTGCTAGCTTTTGCACCGCATTACAGCGCACATTTATAACAATTTCAGCGCAAGCACATGCCTTTTGTACCTACGAATAGGCATACCTACATAGGGCGCGCGCCGGCACACGAGGCGAACGACGCATGTACCGGTCGAACTTCCCTCCCCGCGCGCACCTCTCGTTTCCCCGTGCCACGTGGCTGGCGATTCTAGCGGGCCCCAGGACCTCAACAAGTGGACTACTGACGCTGACTTCCAGCTGCTGCATGTAACGATTGCAAGGTTTGCGTGGAGATCAGGTATTTAGTCAAATTTTACTATTTTGGTGGGCGTAAGCCAGTGTTCTTATCTGCATTATGTCTGACACGGAGTTAAAAGATTTAAGACGGCAAAGAGGATCTATCAAAGGAAGGCTAACTAATTTCAAAAATTATCTAAGCGAAGTTCAATATGGAGACTCGCCTAGTATTTCGGAACAGCAATTTTTACAATTAAAACTTAGACTTAGCAAAATAGAATCGTTATTTTGTGACTACGAAGCAGTGCAAAATAAAATAGAGCTTTTAGATTCCAGTGAGGATTTGGAGTCTGATAGGAATTTAATAGAAAATAGTTTTTACAATGTAATAAGCCAAGCACAAGAATTAATCTCGAAATCCAACAATGTTACAGATAGTTTTGATAGTGCCCATTCACAGTATATCGATAGAAACATCAACAATATTAAATTGCCTACAATTAAACTACCAAATTTTGATGGAAATTTTAACAAATGGCTAGAGTTCCATGATACATTCTGTTCCTTAATTCATAATAATAGAGATTTAAATGATATAAATAAATTTCAATACCTTAAGCTTTCATTAACGGGTCAAGCAGCAACTGTAATAGAATCTTTAGAAATTTCAACATCTAACTATCCCGTAGCCTGGAAATTAATATGTGATCGTTACAACAATACCAGACAATTAGTACATAATCATTTAATTTCCCTCATAAACACACCAACTATTAAGAGTTCTGAAACATCACTACGAGCACTGGTTGACCACATCTCTAAACACATGCGAGCATTATCTAGTCTAAACGAAAAAACTGAGAATTGGGACACACTAATTATTTTTCTATTCAGTCAAAAGTTGGATTTAGTAACCTCCACTAAATGGGAGGAGTATAGAAACAATTTAAAAGAAAAACCTACACTAGATAATTTTTATGACTTTCTAAGAAATAATGCTGATATACTAGAAATGGTCAACGCAAGCCATGGTGACAAACATCTTAACAATGCGAAACCACACAAGGCAAATGAGAAAGCAACTCATTCTGATCGGTCTCATAAGAAATTTGTTGCCATGGCATGCCAAGACAATCCAGTCAAACCTAAATCTAAATCATGTTTCATATGTGGGAAGGAACATTTAATTTATTATTGTGAGAAGTTCAATAGTATGACCATTGACGAAAGAAATGCAGAAGTGTTAAAATTGAAACTTTGTACCAATTGCCTGCGGAGTGGGCATTTTGTTAATCAATGTCTAGCCTCTGCATGTAAATTCTGTAAACGAAAACACAATTCCTTACTACATAAACCTAATTTATCTAGTTCTAAGGTAGAAATAAGTGACAATTCTAATCCTACCACAAGTGTGTGTAACCCCATTGCACTATCAACTTCTATAGAAAATCAGGTACTGCTATCAACGGCAGTTGTTATACTAAGTAGCAACAAGCAAAGATATGAGGTGCGATGTCTATTAGACTGTGGCAGTCAGTCATCATTCATTTCAGAAACTCTGAAATCTAAACTATGTATTGATAGCCAATCTATTAATAGTGTATCTGTCACTGGCATCAATAATATGACATGTGCAGCTCTAGAATGCTGTGATATAACTATAAAATCACGTACCAATTCCTATTGTAAGGAAATCAAAGCATTTGTTATACCACAAATAACAAGTAACTTGCCTAATTCTAAAGTTGATGTATCAACACTGAACATACCCAATAATATCACACTCGCAGATCCTACATTCTATAATCCTTCACAAATAGATCTGTTGTTGGGAGCTGATATTTTTTGGGATGTTATTTGTCCTACTAATCAGATCAAATTGGGTAATTCTAATCAACCTGTGCTACAAAACTCCCAATTTGGTTGGTTGGTAGTGGGACCCATCATGTGTCCTAACAATGTACCAAGTAAGGAAATTCACTGTAATTTCAGTCAAGCCATACGACAACAACTGAAGCAGTTCTGGGAGCTGGAGGAGCTTCCAGAGACACCAAAGTTTACAGTGGAGGAGCTTGCCTGTGAGGACCACTTCGTGCAGCACACGCGCCGCATGGAGGACGGCAGGTTTTGCGTCACGTTGCCTTTACGAGAGAAACCAGAACAATTGGGTGACTCTCATGCTCGAGCTAAGCATTGTTTATATTCCCTAGAGAAGAGATTCGCAAGGCAACCTGACATTAAAGCACAATATGTAAACTTCATTAATGAGTATGCTAGCCTAGGTCATTTATCTGTAGTGGAGCAACCTGACCCGGTAAATCTATTGCCACATCATCCGATTTTAAAATCACAGAGCGAAACGACAAAATGTCGAGTAGTATTCAATGCTTCCTCTAAAACCGAGTCAGGTCTCTCTTTGAATGATTTGCTTATGGTGGGACCAACAGTTCAAGATGACATTTTCTCAATATTAATCAGATTTCGGCAACACACATATGTTGTTACTGGCGATATTGAGAAAATGTATCGTCAGATCCTAGTAGAAGAATCTCAGAGATACTTGCAAGTAATTTTGTGGCGTGAAAACGTGGAAGAGCCTATGAAGTATTTACAGCTCAATACTGTAACTTACGGTACTTCATCGGCCCCTTTTCTAAGTACGCGATGCATAATCCAGCTGAGTCAAGAATGTGATGACCTGTTGATCAGAGAAATAATGGCACATGATTTCTACGTCGATGACTTAATTACTGGGTGTAACGACGAAGCCACTCTTGCAGAAATATATCAACAGATCATTGCAAAATTAGAATCAGCTTGTTTCAATCTGCGAAAAGTTAAAAGTAATTCTACTAAGTTTATAGATTCTATTTCCAGTACAAGTAACTCTGAGCAAGAAAACTTTAAGATTAGTTCCTCACCAGGCCATGCTCTCGGCATAGAATGGAATCCTAACACAGATACAATTTTAATGGTATCTTCTAAACTATATGACTGTAACAATGATACTCCATTTACTAAGCGTTCCATTCTATCCCTTACTGCTAGTCTATTCGACCCTTTGGGTTTATTAAGTTGTTGTACTGTTGTGCGTAAAATCATTCTACAAATGTTATGGTCTCAGAAGCTATCATGGGATGATGAAATCCCTCCTAACATCAATAAGATCTGGAGAAATTTCATAGATCATGTGGATCACTTACAAACTATAGATATACCAAGGAATGTTTGTTGCGCTAACCCTGTAACCATCGAGTTACATTCATTTTCTGATGCCAGCTTGAAGGCTTATGCTGGATGTGTTTATGTGAGGTCAACTGATGCTCTAGGCAACTGTACAGTACGACTTTTGACTGCTAGAGCTAAGGTGGCGCCACTCAAGACTGCCACCATACCCAGACTGGAGCTATGTGGTGCGTTTTTGGTTGCACGCCTATGTGACAAAGCTAGCAGAGCGTTTCGTTGCAATATTTCTAATAAATATTATTGGTCTGACTCAAGGATCGTACTGGGTTGGTTGGGCACGCCTCCACATAAACTACAGACTTTTGTTGCAAACCGAGTTGTATCCATCAATGAACTGTGCAATGACAGCGAATGGTTGTATGTCCCATCATCAGAAAACCCAGCTGACATAGCTTCCCGCGGTGTTTTCCCGAACGAAGTTAAGTCATTATCTTTGTGGTGGCAGGGACCTACATTCATTCGTGAAGGGGAAGCATGTTGGCCAAGTCAAGTAGATGGTTATACAACATTGCCGGAATTACGCGTAAATGCTGCATGTGTCAATGAGACAACATCTACCAATTGTGTAATTAATATTAAGAATTATTCTAGTTTTACTAAGTTAAGACGCATTGTTGCATATCTATTTCGGTTTTATAACAATATTAAGAATACTAAAAATCAAAAAGCAAATGTTAACTGTAGAAGAATTAGAATATGCAGAAACAAAGTTAATATGGATAGCACAACAAGAAAGTTTTCCAAATTTTGAAAGGCAATGTAAAGAAGCTCCACTTATTAGTCTAAGTCCATTTATTGATGGTGATGGGTTGATGAAAGTTGGGGGCAGACTACAAAACTCTGAATTTGAATATAATAAGAAGCACCCCGCTATCATTGATTCTAATCATCACTTATCAAATTTATTGTTCAACTACTATCATAAGTTACACATGCATGCAGGTCCACAACTCCTCCTCTCACTAATTCGAGAAAGGTATTGGCCCATCAGAGGGAGAGCTTTAGCTCGAAAGGTTTTTAGAAAATGCATTCTATGCACTCGTATGAGAGGAGCAGTTGCCAAACAGATAATGGGTAACTTACCATCTCCTAGGTTAACTCCAGGCTATCCATTTGAAGTAACAGGTACCGATTTCGCTGGGCCGTTCTTGTATAGCGATAAGAAAGGTCGTGGCGCTAAGCTAATGAAATGTTACTTTTGTGTATTTGTGTGTTTCAAAACTAAAGCTGTACATTTAGAGTTAGTGAGTGGTCTCAGCACAGAAGCCTTTATTCTAGCTTTACGTCGTTTCATAAGTAGAAGGGGTAAACCCCGTGAAATATGGTGCGATAATGGCACAAACTTTGTCGGTGCCAGTCGTGAGTTAGGCACATTCTTAAGGTCTAACTCTAACTCTGTGTCAGAGCCTTTTGCAGAAGAAGGCATTAAATTCAAATTTCTACCTGCATACTCCCCAAACTTTGGAGGTCTGCATGAGGCAGCTGTAAAGTCTGCGAAGTACCATTTGAAAAGGGCCTTGGGTGATTTCCATTTTAATTTTGAAGAGCTTACTACTCTGCTCACTCAAATAGAAGCAATACTAAACTCACGGCCCCTTTCCCCTCTGTCTACCATCCCTCACGATCTGTCCCCTCTTACCCCAGGGCACTTCCTTATTGGGAGACCGATGACATCGCTGCCAGCGCCCGATCTACTGGAAACCAAGAGCAGCAGCCTACACCGCTACGCCAGGGTCGAGCAAGCCAGGCAGCATTTCTGGCGTCGATGGAGCCACGAGTACATCTGCGAACTGCAGCAGCGCAACAAGTGGCAGAAGCGCCATCCCAACCTTTCACCTGGCCAGCTAGTAGTTATCAAACAGGAAACTACCCCACCATTGAATTGGCCGCTTGGAAGAATCGAAGCTGTTTATCCCGGCACTGACGGTGCATGTCGAGTTGCCGATATCAAGACTTCCAAGGGCATCGTGCGCCGCGCTGTAAACCGGATCTGCCCACTCTTCGAAGAAGAACATTGAAACAGGGAGGTTTCAAGGCGCGGGAGGATGTTAACGCCGTACCCATCACTATTATCGACCGTGCTCCATCACTACAAGCCGGCGGCCATGACAGCGCGCGAGCAAGCAGCGACGCGCCTGACGCCACGCTACTCCGCCATTACGCGCCCTCGCGATCGGACGCAACCAAACGAAACCATTAAATAGTCTACCACATGTTAACCTTTCATACAATTCAAATTAAAGTCTGTAAATTAATTCCTGAGTCTTCATTCAACAACAATACAAACATTTGGTATGCAGACAGTAATACCCTGGATTAACACATGGCTGTTTTTCATTAACATACCACGCGGGAAAAACCGCGTGCCGAAACTAGTATTAAAATAATTACTCACTAGCAATTGGTTGGAGCGAAGTATCGTTGAGTGTCTTAGGCTTCAGTTCCGAGAATCCATGTTTGAAGAGGAAATCAGATCTGCCCACTATGACGACGGATGTCTGGGATTCACCTTTCACTGTAGCGGTGTATCTGCCAGGTTTTATATCAACCAACTTCACTACCTAAAACATTTTTTGATCTATTAATAATTTGAATGTTCTCCTCCATTCACGGGGTCATAGTGTCACGGACCTTTGGAAAGCGTACGACGGGCTGAAACCAACTCGCAGAGGCCCCTAGAACAAGTCTAAATGCATATACAGAAGCCCCCCAGACCCGAATCCACCGTGCTAACCGTGAGGTCTATACTTTATCCAGGGACTTAGTATGCATAAGTTTACCTTTATAAAATTTTGTTGTTTTTAGGTAGCAAATAGAAAGGTAAAACGCTACGCATTTAAATGTTTTTTTTTCTTTTACCATAAAAAAAATTACACATGCTTTATATGTATGTCCAGATATAAATAATATTGTATGTATATATCTTACACACGAAAATCATGAACATTGTTTAAATTAAAATTTGTAAATCCAACAAACAAAAACTAACCAACTACCTATGTAGCTTCTTTGTGAGAAGTCGGGCGGAAGGGATTGCCAGACTCTTATTGACTAAAAATCCCATCGTTCCTTCTCCTGCTTTAGGCCGAGGCCACGGTGACTTATTGCGCTTGCCCGCAACTCCGGCTGAACATCAGCCCTATAGGGCCCCGTCTGTGGTGGTCTATTGGCTCTTTGAGGCGCGCGCGGAACGCTACGCGCCGTACGTTCGGTTCTGGTTCTGATCCGGCGGAGAGCTACCCTTGCTTATCGTCCAACCAACCAACTTTGTAGCTGGATGTAGTATAGGAGAAACTTCTAATAAAATAGATTTGTACTTTGTGATACTCACTTTACCGTTGGCATTCCACATTAAGTTTTCCTGTCTGCCGGTTGGTCCAGATAATTTTAAGTACACATCCTTACCGGACACGGAGACGATGACGTATTCAGTTTGGTCATCTACGTCGAACTGAAATATAAACATGTTTTTTAAAACGAAATTATTAAAGCAAGATCGAGTTGAACGGCCTTGGCCCAACTAGGTCACGTAGTCAATTAATAGATATTAATTGAAAATGAAATACTAAAATAACATAAAATTAAAATTTCTTTAAGTGACACTTACTGGAATATCTTTGTAAATATGGGCTGGAACAGTGGTTACTGTAATTATAACCTTTTCACCGCTTATAATGTCAGTTATAGGTCTGAGTACCTGAAACAAAAAGCAGCGGCAAATTATGTAAAAATAAAAATAATGAAGAATTTTAATTTCTAATTTATTCAATATTGTAATTTCTAACTGGACAAAATTAATGTTTATTTTCTGATTGTCAAAAACAACACTGTTTTCTTTACGTTTTCTATGAAATAGCACGTTATGACGTAGTATTTTACTTGTTTTACTGTTTATTTTAATCAAGCGAATATAAATTGGGTAGCAATAAAACGAGTGACTGTAAATTACAATTGAAAGTCACAAAATTAATTAATTTGCGAGGCGAAGTAAGCGACTGACTGTAAGTTGAGTTACTTAAAATACAAAATGAGCAGTTTCATAATATTTGAGCGACTTAATATTTGTTTTAGTGTCAACGTTACGTCCTGTATTTTTTCAATATTGGGCAAATGTATTTTCCATACTAAGCGGCATTTTATCTTAAATGAAGTGTTTCGACTACAAAAACCAACAAGCAAGCAAGCAAGCAGCATGTAACAGGCAAGGTTTCTGTGACGGCTCCGGCGCTGCGGCTCTCCGGCGGCCCCAAGCGTTCTAATCGTCGCAGACGGGCCGCCTCGCGCCTACGCGTTTTTAAATAACACTCTAGGGGTAGGACAAACAAGACTACGTGAAGTCGGTTTTTCAGCAAACACATGTGTTTCCAGTCGTTAACTTAGTAATGTAGTTGATCGGATAAAATTTTAATACATGAAATGGAATTATCGCAACGCAGTTTTTGCAAGCTCGTTCTGGATTTTATTATTTACAATATTCGTCATTAGTTTAGTAAATTTTTCGCTTAATCAAATTCATACCACTGAAATTATTAATACAGTAAGTATGTGATGTCATCATCAGTCGCAGAGCTTTTTTTTAATCGCTCATTTTATAATTCCCCATATACATAGAAAGTGTGATTATTTTTAAATATAATTATAATATATATGGTACTTTTTTGTAAGGGGAAAACCATTATTAAAACCACTGTATCAAAAAACTCTTTGACTCTGTGTGATCGACAAATTGTTGTGTCGGGTGTGTGTGTGTGTAAGTGTATTGTATGGATTGTTCAAAAGTACCTACGCTTAATGTATTGTTGCTATGCAATCTAACACTAGATTACATAGCACTTAATTAGTAATACTGTGTATTTTATTATTTTACATACACGCTACACATGTTTGTATTATTCTATTGTATCTCGTATGAAGTCGCTATTCTATGCCAACAAAATCGCGGGCAAAAATTAGTTTCGAATAATAATAAACAATGTCAGTGTTAATTTTCTTCTAAATAGTTCTATAACAACGAAATCTTGCTCACCTCTGACACTTCATTTTTGTTCACTTCATATGCCAACCCTGAACACGCCTGGGCTATTTCGTAATACACACTCATCATTTTATCTGGATAAGACACCGTACATCTTCCGGTTATCACAAAAGACACCTGAAATTTAATAAGTGTACATTGTGGGTATTACATTAATCACAGTATTTATTTTTATTTATATATACTTTACTAGCTTTTACCTGCGGCGTCGCACCTGTGAGTGAGGTTACCGGAGGCCCACAATCCTTCCCCTCCCCCAATCCCTCCTCAATCCCAAAATCTCCAAATCCCTAATCCCTAAAAGGTCGGCAAAGCACTCGTAACTCCTCTGTTACGGGTGTCCATGGGCGGTGCTGATTGCTTATGCTATCCAATGAAAATCGCACCCCCCCCGCACACAGAAGAAAGTCCTAGTGTGGAACAAAGCTTTTTTTGAAAAAGGCAAACATTCAAGAGATATTAAGCCTATTTATAATGTATAGATACATACATATTATATACAGATATCTACAACTAGGTACTCTTCAAGCTTTTTTCAGTATGATAAACAATATTAATAGTATTATATACAATATTGATATATTTTAAGTCTTTACCTGAGATTGCTTTTTCTGACACAATTCTTTGGCAATGTGGGCTTTCTTGTGATCTTTGGCTGAAGCATCGGTGAAAACGTACACGTGAGAGCCACGATTACTCTCATTCAAAGCGAGGATCAATCCATTCATGGATGGTTCTCGACAGTCATAGTTATGGTAGTTGTGCACATAAACTTCTCTCAATGCTCTATTAAATTCTTCACGTTTGTCCGTCCTTGTTCTCACACGTGCATCTAAAATTAATAAATAATAATGAAAAAAGTTGATTTTAAAAATCAAAACTGCGACCCACCTTTTAGGGGCACCTATACGTAATTCTTATACTACTCCAACGATAACGAATAAAGAGATGTCATAAGTACTTAAGTTTAAAGTAAAACTATAAAAAAAAAATAAAAAAAAAAACAGGACCTGTACAGACGTTAGACGATACAGCACAGCAGCTCATTCCAAAGCGTAACTAACATGTTGGTTGGACCAACGACCTAAATGACTAGTCCTATCATTGAAAAGGAAAATTTCTCATCACACTGTAAGTTGAAGGGTGAAGGGGCTGTTATAAAGACCAACAAATAGTTACAGGATGGTAGTTTAAGTTAGGTTGTTACAACTGTGAGAGCGCGGGACTTAATAAGCACCAAGTTCAACGCAGGTACATCAGCAGATCGAGAGAGAGAGACGATCTGTCGTTGTCAGCCGTGGTGTGGAGAATGGTCTCAGAGAGACGCAGAGTGGTGGTGAGTAAATAGAGGGAGATTTCATTTCCCGTCCGCAGAAGGCGCACTGGGTGCAGGAGAAGGGCTGGCAACGCCCCTTTTAGCCAAACCCCATAAATGAGTCCAGGAGCGAGGACCTTTGCGAAGTCCCCGTCGCTTATTCGATGGACCCAAGGCGAGAACAAGCGCGGATGTCGGTGCACACCTCTTAGGTGATGCACGGGGTAATTAAACACCTCACAATATGCAGGAGATGGGGCCCAGACTGAGTAAGCCAGCACTAGTGTGGGTTTACAGAAGATTCTTAAATAATCCCACACGCACGCGCGAGTGTGGTTTTAGCCGGTTAGAGTCTGTCACGCCTCTCTGCCTTTCCCCGGGTGGCGGCAATCTATGAGGATTACCCCCCGTTAAAGAAGGTTACAGCCGTGAACCGCACCAAAATCGAATCACCGTCAGAAATAAATAGCTGCCAGAATGGTACAGCAAACAGGCTATATATGCTGTTAATTAAATGGTTTGTTAAACCTGACTGCTAGATTTATATATCACTATACTTATTAAAGAAACTTTTGTTTTAATATTTCTTAACTTGGACTTACCTGGGTCATTAAATGTGACGAGTACCATGTTGCTGATCACACTGGCCTTCTCATTGAACACTATGTCCATGATCCGGTCCACGCTTCTTTTGACGTGATCTATGTCATCAGTCATCGAGAGAGTATCATCTATTACAAAGGTCAAACTCCCTTTCTCAGTGCATGATGCTTTCATAACAACATCAGCGAACACCAGCAGTACCGCCAGCGGAAAAATCCGCCGCAACATTTTCACAAATAATTTAATATCAAACTGAATAATTGACTGATCCGTTGAACTGAATAACGACCACTGTCATGTATCTCATTACTGAACTGTAATTTATACTACTAATAACTTCTGTGTCATAATATAACGTTTCCAGAAAATATAGTTGTTTTCCTTTAACTATTTGTAATTGACCGCGCCTTGATTCATTTCAATAATACCAATCTAAATGTGACTAAAATTTAATCCATTTTTATCTTTATTTGTATATTGAGTTTGTTATGTTTTTTATGTCATGGGTCGGCAAACAAGCAGAAATATTACCTGATGGTAAGAAATCGGCGCCGCCCTCAGCATAGACATTCGTATTACCAAAGTGTAGCAGAGACTACAAGTGCGTTGCCGGCTTTTTGTGGGCTGTTAGGGATTTAGTTCATCAAAAGCAGAAGAAGAAATTGGCTGAATCATCACAATGAATAAATATAAGTATATTTATATATATATAAGTATGTAGTATCTATTTATTTATATTAGTGTTCTATATTTATTTATACATAATTTGTATGTATTATTAGTTTATGTAAGATTATATTGTTATTGTATTTGTTTAAACTTACACATTATTATTTTAAGTCTTTGTTTTGTCTTTAATCTTTGAACGTTTTGCTGCTTGTGCTCACCGTTTTCACTCATCTCTGCAAAACCCAAAGGTCAGACTGGTAGATAATGCCTACGGCATTAAGTCCGCCTATGTACAGAAGTTTGTGTGCATTAAGCTTACTAAATAAATTAAAAAAATAAAAGCCACGCGAACGTTCGCGAACCTATTGTTCTTCTAGTGTATCTTGAATTACCACGGTTGAAAGTTTAGGATTGGGGATTTGAGGATAAGGGATGGGGGTTGGAGGATTGGGCCTTCGGTCACCTCACTCACATGACGAAACACTGCATAGGTGTTGCTTCATGCCGGTTTTCTATATGGCCGTGGTATCACTGCGTTAGAGCCGACCTATTCTTGCGAAAGCATGGCTCTCTCAGATTTATTAATATTTCTCTATATATGTATATGGACCTAGTGTGAAATAGGAGCCCAAATCTAAAACTGAAATGTCGTAAAAAGTTCTATCAAACATATTTTCTTCTTTTTTATTATTTAAGCATATAATTTATATAGAAGCATTCTTCTGGATTGTCAGTATGCATATGTGAGCACCATATTCGAGACGATAAAGAGTTTAAAATTTAAACCCATCCACCCATGTATTGATCCCATCGTTTGGTCATGAAGTTTGTTACCCGTTCTTACAACAACTGCAGCCAAGAATTCAATTATATGTAGGTACATAAATCTCAACCCTTTATTCAAACCGGCTTATAACAATTATTGAAACAAAACAAGTCAATGGCGCTGATCAATTAACGAAAAATAAAAAAAACTACATTTACTCATTAAATTTGTGTAGTTTCTTGCTTGAATAGTTTTAATTTGGAGTGGCTGTGTGGTGTCCCGGTGGATAAGGTCTCTCATGCAAGAGAGTGGTTTTTTTTGTGAGGGGAAAATCATCAAATGACCGCTCCCGCCCTGCGCCGGGCGGGAGGGAGTGTCAGACTCTTACTGACTAAAAACCCCCCTGTTTCTTCTCCTGCTCTGGGCCGAGGTCGCGGTGCCCCTTTAAGGCCCCGTCTGTTGTGGTCTATTGGCTCTTTGAGGCGCACGCGGAACGCTACGCGCCGTACGCTCGGGCCTGGTTCTGGTCGGGCGGCGAGCTGCCCTTACTCGCCGACCGCAGACCCGTGCTTACGGTGGCCGGAGATGGAATACGGCGCCCGAATCGATGCAAGAGAGTGTGGGTTCGGAACTTAGCAAGTACCAACACGACGCTTTATAAGTCACATGTAGGTACTTTTCCAAAATCCATTGATTTTGATTCAATGTTGTAGTGATTTGTAGTGTGATTTAAACATGCATGGGTATATAGGGACAGAGAAGATTGATAAATACATAAATAAATATAGGAAAGCTAATTACAAGGTCATTTAATTAACTGTGTCAAATTACATTTAGTTAACCTGGTTAACTTAATGCGTCATAACAAGTGATTTGGCACACATAACAACACTTTCAACCATTCTAAGCTGACTGTTAAATATGCGAAAAGGTCATACATAGCGAGTCTATGCTAAAATGGTTTTTTTATAGTTTAATACGTAACTGTATACGTAAGAATTGTCATTACGAACGCTTCACCTGATTGGTCACTTCAACGTTTGGTTCAATTCCTGGATCGAGCAGTGTCATTGGATTTTTCAGGTCCCCTATTTAACGTAAGTATATAGATATATAAAAGTACTAAAATAATGCTACAAGAAAGGTAGCATAATATCTTTGTTCTTCTAAAATTTGCGAGGCTGTGCCTATGTATGGGTGTTACTTAATCTTTCGACCAAAAAATGGATATAGAAATAATTTAACGGATTTATATCGTTTTTTATTGGGACAAACCCGCCACCATCTTCCAAAAACCGCTGCGACTCCTGTAAGCCAAGATCTCCAATAGATAGGTACAACTATGAAAAACAGCGCAACAAATCATATTATAAGATATTATTTGAGGAGAAGAAAAGAACGAAATAAGTAAATTTTATGCAGGAGACAGAACGACTTAAGCTTTTTTTTGTGAGGCGAAAGTCCTCAAATGGCTTCTCCCGCCCAGGGCCCGGCGGGAGGGATTGTCAGACTCTTACTGACTAAAAATACCCGTCTGTGGCCGTCTATTGGCTCTTCGAACGCTGCACCGTGGTCTGGTTGTTGTTTAGTTGCCCTTACTCGCCGTCCGTTGCCACCATGAGTAGTCAAGAAGCTTAAATGGAAATAATTTGCTCTTAAAGTTGCCATTGCCCATGAGAAACTGGTCCATAGCCGGATTTGAATGCTAAATTTAATTAATTTTTATAAAGGGCTAGAAATCCAGGCTCCGAAGAATAAAATATCTATACTAATATTATAAAGAGGTAAAATTTGTAAGTTTGTATGTAGGAGGTAATCATTGGAACCGCTGGTCGGATTGCCAAAATTCTTTCACTGATACATAGTTACAATGTTCCTGAGTGCTATAGGCTATAAAACATCACGCTACTATCAAATAGAGAGGGTTATCAAAATAATAATTGTTCCCTGTAGGAGTCGACCCTATAAAATTTAATAGAAGCTGTTTAAATAGCCACTGCTTCATCTCCTGTACGTGAGTTGAGGATTCAGTCAGAGTGAGTAGGTATACTTGCTCCCATTTTTGGGACGACTCGATTGAATAACATAAAGATAGTCAATTAAATTAGAATTCTCAACTCGTAAATTATATTCCTGACAGGTTTCGAAAACGCACCCTCATGAATGGAAAGCGAAGGCCTACACCTCTGGGCCAACCACTTAGACCTCCACGATATTTTAGATGAAATAAGTTATTATTTTACTTAAATAGTGCAGATTTAATTTAGGTATATAAATGTTATGTATCTATTATGGTTTCATCGAGTCACGTTGAAGCTATAGGTAATTGTTTTTTTGAATAATAATGAGATGCTTTTTGTTATTAATTTTCCTTATTTGATTTTCCACATTATGTATTGTTATATTTATAACAAAAGGCGCCTCCCAGTGTTGCTCGGATGCTATTCCCCAATTTAATAAGTAATTTTACCTACTTATTATTATTTATGAGCACGTAGCTTCACTGACGAACAGACTGACAGACTACTTTTCTATTTTCACGTAAGGATGAAGATGATGAAGGATTGGGTCTCCGGTAACCTCATTCACAGTACCAGTTATCTGCGTTCTGACAGTTTGAGTACTTGCGCGACCTACCCAAATGTTCTTTAGATCGGTATTGTTCGTCGGACAACTCAGCAGTACTTGCTATACTGGTTGCAAACTGACACTTGCGTGCCTGTCTTCAGAACGGGTCCACTTAAACTGGTGTGGTTCTTTCATCAAAAGACCACTACAGAATTAACTTGCACGGTTCTCTCACATTATGTTTTTTTTTACATTGTCTGGACTTGAAAAGAGACTGACCTCTGAGTTTGTTTCGGCATTTCTTCTCAGAGTAGTCAGATAGGAAATGCCGGCTTCATCTAGTTTTTCACATATAAATTGACGTGTAAAAGTGCCGTTTTATGGCCTATTTGCAAAAATAAATTCATTGTTTCATTGTTTCACACTGCGAAACAATGCTATGGTCGTTTCACGCCGGTTTCTGTGAGGCCGTGGTATAACTCCGGTCCAGCCTTGGTTTGGTTGGTAATGTAGTTGGTTTGGATTTTCCTCCATCTAAATCAAGTTTACCCATTACTTTTGTGGTGCTCTTGTTGACATATAATTTTAAAATAATAATTAAAACTACCTATTTTATTAAATACATTAACATAATGACGTTGTTATTAAACATGATTATAGTCTGGTTTTCCTAGTTAAAATATTCCCGACATTTATTGTACTTAAATATGACTATTATTATATTTAAATATGACATGAACGATAAAATTATTTACAATTGATTGTAAATAATGTTATTTTGGTAATATATTATTGTTATGAGTTAATATTTACCTGTTTATAAATTATAACTTGCTGTTTAGCCTATGTTACACAAAGTGAACATAGCTATGCAATAGCAAAAAGTGAATTAAATTTTGTAGTTTTTGAGTGTATTCATTACAAAAATACATAGAAAGACACATCTTCCTCATTATAATATTACTTTATAAAGATGTAGATAAAATTCTATTCTCATTCATATATGGCTTTTCGACTACCTAATCGAAATAAAAAATAACATTATATATGTTGAGTGACGATAAGTAGGTACTTACGTCTGCTGAGTAAACGGTCTCAAATGCGCTTGCATCTGACAGATAAATTATTCCAATTTATCGAAAGTTCTAAAAATAGTCACACCTAGCTGTGGCTTATAGTTTTTCCGCATATATTTTATAACCTATGTTTACTGAAGACAGTGTAGTTTACCCAGAGTGAAATAGTAAATCAAATCTGTCAAGAAGTTTTCCAGCGAATTCAATGCAAAAAACAAACAATCATTATATTTTCGCTTTTAAACACTAACGTGTAGATTGAAAACAATGCAAAATACAGTATTACAATTATTTGATTTAAGTTATTTACTTTCACCAATTTATTCACAAAGAGTTTTATCATAACAAGGTTATGGCATCAGCACGTTTAGATGTTAATTCTCCATTGATGTTTACATTGCTAATCTCTGGAAATAACTATAAACCGAAAGAATATCTTGTCAACGCTGAAAATCAGCGCCGCGACACTGTCTCGCAAAGTGTCGCTGCATATGCTGAGCGAGGGCCATTGCGCGTGCTTCGACGAATATTTTTCCCTTACCTTCTAGGTATTCTTTTGTTATATTATTGTTTCACCATGTTAGTTTTGTGTCTTTTTTAATTTTTATTCACTTGTTTATTTGTATCCATAAGCGTCATGGACGCGAATAAATACGTTTTGTTTTTTTTTTTTAAGTTTCTATTAACGGGCAGTGACATTTCAAAAGACTTCATCATCATCATCATCATCATCAGCCTATAAGTGCCCACTGCTGAGCTAAGGCCTCTTCTCACAAGGAGAAGGTTTGAACATTAATCACCACGTTTGCTCAATGCGGGTTGGCGATTTCAAACTCATAATTAGAAATGTAAGTCCAGGTTTCATCACGATGTTTTCCTTAACCGTATGTCAGTGGTGTCTAAATAATCATAGAAAGTACATATAACTCGGAAAAATTCATATTACTACTTGCCAGGTTTCGAACCCACACCCTCATTCATGTGAAGTGGGCTCCTTAACCTCCTGGCCACCACGACCTCTTCTTTAAAAGATTTCCTGTTAGGCATTGTCTGTTCACTTTGAAGTTTCGGATTCTTTCGGGGTAGACAAATAAAATTTTTGAGTTACATATGTAAAATACCTGGAGTTATATGTACATATGTTCCTGAGTTACCCGGTGTGGAGCTTGTGGCTTTACCTTTTCAAGGAGAAGAAACAACGGTAGTACGATTATATTAGAACTAGGTAACCCAATATGAATGGCACTTAATAAACTTTGTTGAACACTAGTTTTGATGATCACTTTGCAATTATATTTTATTTTATTTAATAAACAGACAACGTATTATGCAATACATAATATTATCATGTTAAGAATACACTTTGTATCAACCTGAGGTCCAATTACAACTCACATGTACACAGCATTAATATTTAAACAGCTAAAATTTTTGAAATAAAAAAAATATGAAAATTACTTAATAATAAACTAAACTAAGCAATACCATGTCGAGTGAGTGCAAAATATTGAAATTGGAACGAACGAATGTTAGGGAAGGTACTAACCAATACCTAATTTGTGCATTAATTTATAAAGTTTCGAATATGGAGTGCATACACACACCTGTGAGTGTATATATATGCATACCTATGTATAAATGTATACGTATTAAAGTGAGCAATACCTCTGTTTCTTATATTTTTTTTGAAAACTTTTCCCTACATTAGCATTTTTTCCAGTAGCGTGATTATTTTAGAAACATAAAAATTCACATTCTAAACAATGAATAACAATTTGTTAATCACACAAAGAGTTGGTCCATGAAGGAAACGAACCCGCGACAGGTTACAGCAGTAAGCCGGAAGATATTCTTAATAAATAAATAAATTGCGCCAACCGTGCAGTGTGCAGTCAATTACTTAAATCAAGTCAAATTTATGTATTTATGTACATATGTATGTTTGCTCCTTTTAAAACTACTGGACGGTTTTGGTTGAGATTTTTCAGTAATATACATATATGTAGATGTAGGTTATAAATTGTCTATACATATATTATCTTTATTTAAAACTGTGAAGAGGATATACTGATTGTCCAATTTTTGTATGTGATAGGACTGCAAATGAGCTGACAGATTACTTGATGGTAAGCAATGGCGCTGCCCGCAAAAACAGAGGAGATACGAGTGCCAACCTTTTGGGAGTTTCGGAGATTTACAAGTATTGTTTCCAGCTGAAGCTAAATAAACATCTCAAAGCCAAAGTAAACATTATTTTAAATCATAATTAACGTCTCTTGAAATTTTAAAATTGAATTATTTATATTATCTTTAACGTTTAGGTGACAATGGCCCATAGTCTATATACATATGCCTTATAAACGAACATTAACATATTTATACGTTATGCAATACAAAACTTATTAGTTAATAAAACATAAGTCTATGTAGTACCATTTCACTATGCACTATGTCATTGTGCGTTCTTCGGAGCTTTTCCGTGGAAGCGACGGAACACCACGTTGTGTGGCCAGAAGCTCTTGTTCAACACGACGTGAAAAAAATAATGTTTAGTTTTACTTTAGTTTATTAGTCTGTGGTCGTCTCGTGTTTCAGTCGTGCCAAAGTGTGGATTTGAATGGAGAAGAGTGAGAAAATCTCAGCCTTAGTTATTAAGAAAAATATGCATTGGAAAATCACCAATATGTATATTATTTAAAACACATTATTGTGAAAACAATCCAGAGAGAAGATAATTATTAAAAAAAGAATCCATTCCTCATCATACAAATTTTATTATAAAGATACAAAAAAGAACAAATATTTATAGAACCAAGCTATCCAACAGAGAACAGATTGGAGTAAAGTTTCCGTTTTCCTGCAGGATATTTATTTACATTATAACTATCTGGAATGCACGATTGGTACAGAAACGGACCGCCGAGCCAGTTTAAAAATAACTTTATAGGAAAATCAAAGTCCGTATTGCTTCTGTGCGTTACGTTGGAGTTAGGACCTGTTTAAATCACTTTCATATACTTAAGTATCCAACAAACTGCCACGCAAGCATCATGGAACTAAAAACAACAAATAACGTTCTAAATTCAAATTTATTTTGTGGCATAATGGCTATTCAGACATTTAAAAACAGGCCATTAATAACCTTCTAACTTACGACATAAAAATATGTTATAATAAAAAATATGATAATTAAAAAAAAAAAAAACAAAACAAACGCAGCCTGAGTCATTAAAATTTACTCTCGTCTTTTGGAATTTGTATAACGTTAAGTTTTTCAAATAGAAGTACTAAACTACAATCTTTCAACTACGGGTATATTTCGGTAAAGATTTCATTAGTATTGTCATCAAACTATTCGATAAAGAGGTCCTAATTAAAAAATATTTCGTGTGCTGCCTTAAATTTTATTTAAAAATTGCCTTCCATTAGGTGTTTTCCCATGTCATGGGACGTTTACAAACATACAATTTCTTAAACACAACATATCAACATCAACTATGTAGTCTTAAATGGCTAGTTTAGATTGTAGACTAAAGGGAAGAACTCTGGAAGAATATGTCTTCCAGCTGATGCAAGATAACATAAGGTATATTTTATTGTATTTTCACGTATATGTTGATGCTGTCAGTGTCCACGTCGTTATCAGCAATGCAGCGGTAAGATCCCTCATTCCTGTAGCTCACGTTGTTTAGGCGAAGAAAACTCGAAGAGTTGCCCCTAGAAAGTGATAAAGGTTTTAGGGATATATATAGTATTATATAACAGATAAAAAAAATGGTTTATTTTTAATTAACTAAAGAAAGTTGTACACAATGGGTCCTTCACGTCATATTTGTCAAATTAATCTCAACCCAAATATTCAATCGTACTCGGTTCAAAGTATTTTTAGGATTTAACTTAATCTGCATAAAGTTCGAAATGGATAAAATTCTGAAAGGGTTACAGGAATATACAGAGCGCTTCTAATCGGTTGATTTGGTACTCATTAGAGGAGAAATGTTAAGAAATCGATGTTATGATTATGACCTACATTTAAAGACATTTTTTTTACATAAAATATAGTACATATATTTTTTAAAATAAAACGTTGCTCCGCTTTAGTATTTTCTCCTGTGTTGTGGGTGCGTTTACAAACATGCAATGTCACATACACATGACACCCAGACCCGAAACAACAGTTTGTTGATCACACAAAGTGTTGTTCCGTGCGGGAATCGAACCCGCGACACGTTGCACGGCAGCCAGTTGCCCAGCCACCGCACCAACCGTGCAGTCAAATCATAATATTATAATAAATTAAATAATCATACTATTATATGTACCTTAACAATATCTTAGTTGTTGAGTCTGGTGCTACGAACTCCCATTTTGTTGATGGCACTGGATTACCAAACAGGACGTTGCAGGTTAAGGCAACACTACTACCAGTTCTTGCAAGCACGGTCTTTTCGTTTGGAGCTTCTATGTACGGCGCCACTGTTATAGCAAATGAAAATTTTGATAAGTATAGTTATATATAGGTGTGACACGGCTCGTAATAGCAGAAATTCGAATCTCCCCCTCGCGAGATGTAGGAAAGTCATTTGATGATTCCTTTCCCCACCCCAAAAAACAATCTTTGTAAATACATAATTTCTTAACTGGCTTTTCCGACTGTTAAGTCGTAACAATATCAGGCAAATATTGTTATCTTTTAATTTGTTATCTAAGAAAACGACTGTTCCGGCGTAGGCGGAATGAAAATCTAGATAAATAATTTAAGTTAAGGGGTGGTCACTGTTCAAATTTTTTTATTGTCTGTCGTCACTTTCAATGACACTATAAAACACGTGTCTATTAAAATTATTAACAAAACAGTAACTACAAAAACAATGTTAATATGTGTATTTTCTTAAATGATCAACAAGGACCAGCCCAAGTCAGAAGCATAATACATTTCAAAATAAGCATAATATTTTAAATTCACTGATACTTTTCCCCTGACGCGCTCACCTAGAACAATAACCGTAACGGTCTTCTCAGCTCTGCCAATACTATTTTCAGCAATACAGTGATATTTTCCAGAGTCCTTCCATAACGCCTTGAATCTGTATCAAAAGTATTCCAAATTAATAAATAATCATTGGTTTAATAATAGTAGTCCCAATAACTATGTAACTATAACCAATAAACAATGCAAACCATGGGGTTTTTACACGGACGTGCGTAAAAACCGTCGTCTATAACACATGTTTATACTTCTTCCTTAAATGACCGTTGGTACAGTTTTTAATAAATATTTGAATTTAGCCTCTATACTTTACACTGTTAATAATAGGATAAGGTTTGTGTAAAAGGAAACTTGCCAAAACGATTTAAAGAAAAATAGCACATGTAAAATGCACAAAGCATTTGAGATCGACCTTAATGGCGGAGTTGTTAGAGGCTTATATCCAGTGAATACGTGAACGTAACGAACACGCGTACCGATGAGTGTTCCGATGATCAGTGCGGTGTCTATCGTCCAAACTAATGATGACGTCATCTTGAGACATCTCCCAACGGATACTGGCTGGAGGTGACGCGTCCACTGCGCATGGTAACTCCACATCATCTTCTTCTTTCACCGTCAGGGTGTGCAAATCACCGTTGGATATTGTTGGTGGATCTGTTGACATATAATGTTCAAATTACGCCTATACTGCACTAGGATTAAATTACTCCAAGAACATCCAGAAGAGCCATGTTTTGGCATGAACTGTTCAGTTCAACCGGAGTGACACCACAGTCGCACAGAAACAATGTTTGCATTTAGTTTTGTCACGTGACAGGTCTACAGGGACCCATCCCTTTACACTGAAAACCAGAATAATGCATTTGTAATTCCCAAGTGATTCAAGAGACTGGGGGCCCTCTCCCCATCCTCAATCCTATTCATCCATAAATCCCTAATTTTACCCACAAAAGGCCAACAACGCACTTGCAGTCCTCCTCTCTATTAATATTACGAGTGTATGGGCAGCGCTGATTGCTTGCCATCAGGTAATCCATCTGCTCGTTTGCCGATCTATGACATAAACATATGAAGGTCACCTGTCTGCTCGTTTGCCTACTTAAAAATATAGCCAGTAACTGTTTTAACACGTGCCCGAAAAATACTGGTTATAATATTTCTATTTCTTACATTGAAGTTGTACGGTAATTTCAGCTGAATCTTGTCCTTTTACATTGTTAGCTTCGCATCTGTAAACTCCTTTATGGTTGGGTTGAGCTGTTCCTATCTTCAATTTGCCACCATCAGCTACCACACCGTCTGGTAATGAACTAAACTCGTACTCATCTTCAGGTTTAAACGTCCAAGTAATTATAGGAGATGGTTTTCCTTTAATAATTCTGTAAGTATAGAAACAAAAATGAAAATATAGTATTTTGTTACCTAAACATGGGAGTGCCATGCTTTGGCACAAATGGGTCAGTTCAACCGCAACGACACTACGGCTTTCCAAAACACAGACGTGAAACAACCACAACGTTGTGTTTCGATGTGTGAGTGAGTTTACCGACAGCCCTATCCTTCCCCACCCCCCAAACCCGAAATCTCCAAATCTGTTATCCTCAAAAGGTCAGCAACGCTCTCGTAACTTCATTGTTGCGAGTGTCCATGGGTGGCGCTGATTGCTTACCATAAGGTAATCCGTTTGCTCGTTTGCCGTCTTATGATATAAAAAAGCTTACCGAGTTGAATCCACTAAGTAAAAGGTACAGCTAGTAAAGTACGAAGTACAATAAGGCTATTCAATTCTTGAAATACCAAAGAAAATAAAGTAAATAAACATATTGTAAAGAAAAATAAACAGATGATAACTATGATTTTTACCTGCATTCCAGATAACTCCATTCTGCTAATTTTAGGGTAACATTTGTAGTACCTACTGTTACTTGAGGTGCTTCTGAAATGACATATAATATTAACACTTTCATCTCAACATTAATTTGATACCTACTAACTATACAAAATTTCGCTTTTTGCAACAAACAAGTGTGATTTTTTACAAAAAATCTCAATTAAAGTACTAGAACATAGCCATAGTGTTTATCCTATTAATATAATAAATGTAAACGTTTGTGAGAATGTATGACTTTAACCCAAAAACGGCTGGACTGATTTGGTTGAAAATTAGTATGCCGATAGGTATAGATAGGTAGGTGGTGTAGTGGTACCCTAGATAGAAAGAAAAAATCTTTGTATTAACAAAGGCTTTTTATCAACATCACACGCGGGCGAAACGCAGGCAGAAGACAGTTTACAATAAAAATTTCTTGACTTATATGTGCATTAACAGTAAAATTAAGATGTTAAAAACTACATAGAAAATCGATAGTATGTAGAAAAGAAATGGAAACTTGCCTATTCCAGAAATGTTCACAAAAGCAGTATATGTTTTTTCGTTGTCTTCGTTCTTCAATTCACATTTATATTCACCGAAAGTGTTTACAGTCATGTTTTTTATCCACAGGGCGTTGGACTCCAAATCTACTTCAATTTCGTCAGATGATGTTACTATCGTATCGTTATGGTACCATGTTGTCTTCGCCACGGGATATGCAGAGACTTGACAGAATAATTTACCCTCACCTCCGTATTCAATTGTCTGATCTGAAATTAAAATTTTAATTTTGGTGGTTGGTGCTCTTCGATTTAATTTAATGAAGTAAGTTTTAAGTTTCACACAAGAAAGTTTTGTTTGCGATTAAAATAAATTTTAATTATTTTCCGCTTGCACTGGTTTTTATTACACATATTTAGTAAGTAATCTGGATTCTTTTTTTGGACTTGACTATTATACTATACAGTTAATGCAGTGGCTGGGAAAACCGATGCCAACGTGTCGCGTGTTGATTCTTGAAGGGAACAACTGTTTATGTGGTGTATATGTTCCGGTTTTGGGGATGATGTGGTAGGTATATGAAGTTGTATGTATGTAAACGCACCTTTTTGTTTTGTTACCGGCTTTCATGTCTTATACCGAATAAATGCATATTTTTTCTTTCTTTCGTAAATACAGAAAAGTAGATAATAGATTTTTTTTAATGTAATACTAAACTATTCTATCATTACATTACCTTCAGGAGTCTGTAACACCTCAAATGTGTATGGTCTATACACATACAGATCTACACTTTGGGAATCTTCGCCTTCAGAATTTTTCGATTTGCAATAAATCGTAGAATTTGCTGTGACGTTTTCTACGGTGACGTAGCTTAGATATAATGACGGTACTTCTAGCAGAATAGTCTGAAATAAATCTTAAAATGGTAAGCTAACCCATCAAAAGCTCGTTCTTGTTTTTGAAGCTTGGCAACGAAGGCAATTCAATATTTTGCCATGTGAGCGAGGTTATACTTAAAAAGACCAATGTCTCCTCAAACTTTAATCCCAAAAAGGCGGATAACGCACTCGGAACTTTGCTGGTGTTACGGCCCATGGGCGGCGCCAATTGTTTACCATTAATCCTTCTGTCCACAAAGCTTAAATTAATCCTTATCTACTAATGCGCGTACCGTTCTGCGTGCGCCTCAAAGAGCCTATAGATCACCACAGACGGGGCCCTATCATAGGGCTGATGTACAGCCGGGGTAGCGGGGTAAGCGCAATGAGGCACCGCGACCTCGGCCCAGAGCAGGAGAAGGAACAGTCGGGTTTTTAGTCATTAAGAGTCTGACACTCCCTCCCGCCCAGCCCTGGGCGGGAGAAAGCATTTGATAATTTTTCCCTCCCAAAAGAAAAAAATCGACTACTCACAAAGTAAATATTGTCATTACATCTAGTACATACGAGGATGGATCCCCTTTTACCAAACCCTGTTTTAGCCATTTCTATTGCGTTATCTAGTCTTTTAAGTACCAATTTTTTTTTCTTACTCACCTCTGAAGCCAATATTTTTCCATTTTCATTTACCCAGAAAACATTGGGTGCTGGGTAACCAGTAACTTTGCATGCTAATGTAGCATTCAAACCAAAGTCTATAATTTTTCCGTCAGCATCTAATATTTGTGACTGAGGTTTTATCCAAGCAGTATCAGTTACAGTAACTGAAAAGGTATCATTTCGAATATTTATTATTTTTGAATATTAATATTTATGAGACATGACTAAATTGATGGAAAAAAATGACATGCTTACAACAATTAACAGAGTAAAGTATTCTAGTTTCAAGTCAGAACGGGAGTTACGTATTCATAATTTAGTCTAGGCGGTCGGTAGATAAGTCGGCCACGCGACGTCGCCGTAAACCGCACGCTGCTCATCAATAAGACGTTGTAACTTAAAATTAGTAGAACTATTCTCAGTTAATTCACGTCAGTAAGTCGTTATTTTAGCTAGCATATTTGTAACGAATATAGAGTCTACACACGATATTTCGTATAGAGGCAAGAAAATGAATAAACCTTCTCATAAGCCATACCTTTTGCAAGCATTCATCAGTCAGTCAGTGACGTCAAGTCAATAGTTTCTGTCTCTCTTCTGAATCAATATTTATTTTTGTACAAGCGTATCAAGTAAGTGTGCAGACTGTGCATAATATTCTGGTACAAACATGTAGTAAGATGTTTTAAATATAAGATTAATAACCTTGCTGAGGGATGAAGTTTTGCGAAGAAGCTACTATCTCCTTCAACGTGTCCGAGTCATAGCCCTTTATCTGAAACGATAATTATAGATTATATCAAATTTGTCTCTATGTTTTTTAAAGTTATCTCCTCCTAAAGTTTACTCATGTATTGTGATATTATTATTTAAAAACTCTTTCTCACATTAATCTTCATGTGGGAATTTAATTCGCAACAAGTTAGAGGAGAAACTGTTGCCTAAACACTGTGCTGCCTCAGAAGTAGAAAGAGGTGGGTGGAAAGTAATTCTTAGAATTCTAGAAGAAATAATTAATGATTTCTTCTGATTTATCTCTTTACGAAACATTAAACAGGTCTTTATTACCTATGTATGTTTAATTTTGATATTCAGGAGGTTTTAGATCAAAGACACATACGCGTACAAAAAAATACTGATAATACCTACCCATATACGAAATCCCTGATCGGTACCAACGAAAGCTTCGGTCAAGTACAAGCCCGTGACGGGATTTTCTTCAAACTCTAGAACTTTTTTCTCTAGTTCATTACTAAACTGCAAATGCATGGCTTCAAGTTTCATATTACTTTGCGAAGCGTCTATCAAGATTTTATTTGTTCGACCTGTGAAATAAAGAGATCCGTGATCAAGAATAGTTGATGCGGCTTTCACCAGATGAAGTTTACTCGTGTGATATTTATTGACAAACACAAAGACAGACTATTTTGCTAGATATATTATAGGCAAACCAAATATTATTTATGCAGTACTGTTGTTTCGCTTAATAATGATTATGTATATTACTACAATATCAAAATAATATCTTCTATTTTGATATCATTGCAGGATTCAAAACGTTGACTATGACGCTGGATTTCATGTATTTGGGTATTTTTATAATTGTATCTACTATAGATTCTGGCTAACAAAAGTTGCAGCGTGATCGGGAAGTGGTGCAAGAGTCTCATAAAAATCCCAAACAGTACATTTTATTTTACCAGTTCTGTGAGTTTACCTGGCATCGGTACACCGCTGGTTTCGTCCATACTTCTAGGGGTTTTAGTGGAGAATCCGAACCGCAGTGGCAACTCATATCTCTTGTATAAAGTGACCGCTGTCTTGCTTCTGCATCTTACTGCTATAGTATAGTCTCCAGCTGATGGCGCTGACAGTCGAAGAACCTGAAAAAAGTTTTTGGCAACTACATTAGACACGACATGTTTTCCCCATCATAATTAGGCTTGATAAAGTTTCCTTTGATTAAACTATTGTTAGCGTAGTAGCCGACGGATTAAGATATCGAACAGAAGGAATGTACGATTCAGAAATTGAATGTAGTTTTGACGGAAAAACAGGCCAACAATTTTTAGCTAGGCATATATCAAATACTGTTTCCTATATATTATCCCACCTGGTTATGTACCTAACTGGTAATTCCAGTCAAGATAATTGAAATGGGCTTTGTTTTTAAATCTCTACTATGCTTTGGAAATCCGCACTGGCTACGGATTTGTAACATAACTCACCCAGAAAGTAAACACCTCGTATACATTAGATTTGGTTGATAAAGCTTATACAAAAATGGCTTACCTGAGTATTTCTTGTATCCAATACTTTTTCCACAGTCTGGTTTGAATTAGGTATAGTTAAATCTACTCTGGGATTATCTCCAGAAACCACCAGTAACCACGTCTTTGTAAATGAATCAACTGAAAACTAAAATCTTATTTTATGTAAGAGTTTCAAAAGTTGACCTTGGTTAACTTTGCTTAGAATTAGTGCGTTCTCTGTTAGGTTAAGGCTAAACTGTATTTTCTCCGTTAGCCCAGAATTACTTTTAAATTTAGAAATATAAATAAGTGTAACTATACTCACAGTAAGTTGTTTATTTTCTGTAAAAGTGTCGTAGTTGATAACGTCAGTCCAAGCTTCACTTAATATTTCTTTCATAAAACTAAAAGCCTGAAATAGTGGAAAATTATTAAATGACTTCTCCCGCCATAAGTGTGGCGAGACGGGGTGTCAAATTCACTGACTAAAAACCATTATTCTACTGCTCGCCAAATTTGGACCTTTTGCCAAATGAATTTTCCAAACTCCTGATATTGTAGGTCGGTATTAATCATAAGAATTTTTTTAATGAATGCTTCTTTGTGTAATAGTCTATTGAAATTAATTATTAATTACAAAGTGAGTAAGGTAGAATACTATAAAATAGGAGACAAATCATAGCAGATACATACCTGTCTTAAAGACGCAGTATCAAAAAGTAGAACTGATCCTGAGCAAGCTTTAGCTACGTCATAATACACTTGGTCAGTTACACCAGGAGATAGTTCAGGAGAACAAAAACCACTCAAAAATATCATCACCTAAAAACAACATTGATTCATTTACACACTTATCATTATGTGTCGTAGCCATAACGTACATTTTCTAATTATGTTTTTGATTATTTCATGTCAGTCACAATTTGTAGACGTTTGGCGATATCATTAAAAATATATTTCACTTTTGAATTTGCTAAATCATCATTTTCGTGTACTTATTACTCCTGGTTATGATTACTTTGAGTAAGTGGTATGCGGCTGTCTTTCTTTAGATCTCATGGAGTTTCTTGCTCGTTCTTCTCCATTCGAATCTACAATTTGGAATGAGCACCTAACTTTACTGACGAACAGACTGACAGACTACTTCTCTATTTTGTTATTATTATATATTCTAACTAAACCATCAATACCTATTGGTTTAGTTAGAATAAATAATTTTGACTTTGACTTTGACATTTAAAATTTAAGGCAATCCAACACTCTCTCAAACTCAATTGAAATAAATTGCTAGCAATGATATTTCTTGGCCAAAATGAGACAATCATTTATTCGGTCGAGGTCGATCGTAAATATTGATGGAGTAGTTCAAGAGTTCAACAATGTGGTGGAGGAGGGTAACCCGCACCCTCTTCTCGTGCATGAGGGTGCAGTTTTGGAACCTTTTCTGAGTTAAATGAACTTTCAAAGATTATTTAGACACCACTGACATAGGATGAAGGAAAACACCGCGACTAAACCTGGACATATAATTTCTAATTATAAGTTTGAAAACTACCTTGAGCCAGCAAAGTTATTAATGCTCAAACTAGTCCGGTGATAAAAAGAGGCCTTCGATCAGCTGGGGGCACTTATAGTGATGATGATGAATGATGAGCTCAAGAGTTTTGAGCTTATATACAGTACATGTCAGTGGTGTTTTTTATTGAAATAATAATAATATATTGATTACGTTACCTGACTGCGAGTGCTTCGACAGAGATTCTCAACAGACTGAAGCTTGCTAACATCTTTTGAGTAGGCGTCAGTGAACATAAAAATTGTGGATTGCTGTTTGCTTATTTGCAACGCCTTTTCTATGCCAGAAAGCGAATTTTCCGGGCACTTGTGTCCCCCAGAAACTGTGATGGAGTTCACGGCTGATAAAAACTGTGATAAAGTGGGCACTATGATGGGCATGCCAACATCTGAAAGAATAAAGAACTTGGTCAAACTAAACATATGTTTATATCAAACTAGCGACCCTCCCTTGCTTTGTACGGGTCTCCAATCACATATTTTCTTTCCTTTATAAGGACCTTCTTCTGTCAATAAGAAATATACCAAGAAATGGTAAAATTGGTCCGGACGGTGTTGAGTCTGAGTCATGCGCTTTCTTTCTTTCTTTCTTCTTATTTTTATAAATATGTATATATAGGGTAGCAAGCGAGCAGCTGTTCCAATCTACGGCCGACAAGTGGCACTTCACCAAAGAATGTACATTTTTTTTTTGTTTACGGGGGGAAACCTTCAAAAGGCGCCTAGCTTTTGGGGAAAAAGACTAGGGAGTGTCGGATTTTTACCTCGCTTAAAACCTCCCCGTTGGCCACCATCAACAACTATAAGGGACACCGGGACCTCTTGATAGACCAACTGAAAGAACGTACTCCTGTCAACGACAGTAGCGTAAACGCAGCCTATTTCGTGCAAGCACCACCGTGCGGTGGTGAACGGTGGGAGTACTATGCGCCAGCGCACCTACCGTGAAACAGCTGACAAGCATAGTCGCTACTACTACTAACCGCTAGTTATCATAATAATTACTGTAAACTCAAGTCTCACTACAATAAATAGTATTATCATCAGTCAGCCTCTTATTCTGAATCATACTCGACCAAAATCTTTTACTTTTTATAATAGTCGAGAGGTTGGAGCCGCGTCAAAACACGAACTTCACATTCCGACACACCATCTCGAGAAATTCCTCAAGGAAGAGTTTTGAAAGGTGTCGTGTATCGCCGGTTTCGTGGCCGCCTACATGACACTAGTCAGCGAAACATGACGCCAACACTTCATATGCACTAGGTTTATAAACTATGTATATAATCTTTATATGATGACATTGTATGTAGTTGACATCAATGATTACTTGAACTCCCACACGTGTTTTATATCAATTTTGTAATATGGGTGTTGCGTTCGAATGTACAGTACGTTCTGTCATGTTCCACGCGCGCCTCAAAGAGTTGTAAGACCAGTACAAATGGGGCCCAGTAAGGCTGATGTTCAGCTAAGGCTGCGGGTTCAACCACGACCCGGCTCACAGCAGGAGGTGCCTTTTAGTCACTTAGAGTCTGGCACGCCCCATATACGGCGGAAGAAGTCATTGGATGATTTTTCCCCATCAAAAATATCTGCTGGACATAGGCCTCCCCATTGCACGCCAATGAGCTCGATGTTCAGCTCTTCTCAACCAACTTTTATTTAAATATAAAACAACATTTTATTATCTGTTTTAATATCAATGAAATAATGACACAATGAATTTATTACTGTAAATAGGCAATAAAACAGCACTTTATATACTATATGTAAAAAACTAGATGTATCATAGTTATTATTCAATTTATCAATCAAAGTCTCCGGTTACCTACGTGTGAGAGGGTCTATTTTTTAGTTTCTTAATTGAAATCTATTTTTAGACAGATAAGATCAAATTCAATTAATACCTAAATAGTTTTTATTTAATACAGTCGCACTAGTGATACTCTGTAGACGAACAAGAGTACTTATGTACCTACATACAATAATTAAAGTAGCAGCGCGGCTCGGCTTCCTACGGGTATTTCCAAGTGGCCGGTCAATTGGATTGTTAAAGGCCCGTCAGGGCATCGATCAACATGTTCATAAAATTGTTCTCCAGACGATAAAGGACACACACAATCAACAAAAAGTATTATTAACTTCATTAAAATATATAACCATGCAGGCGTAATAAAAAAATTAGCATATCAGCGTTGTGTTTGGTCTCGTAAATGAGGTTACTGGAGGAAAAATACTTCCTCTTGCCCAATCGCCACCCGGATCCTTTAGTTTGGTTAGAAACCAAATCCAAAAACGATGTCATTCCCGTTTTATTCCGCGTGACTATGGGCAGCGCCGATTGTTTTCAATCAGGTAATCCATTTTAAATTAATGATCGACTATGTCTGACAACGACATCTTGATCGGCTTGAAATAAAAAAAAATGTATCTTTAATTTAAAAATGGAACGTGTGCGATATCTGCTACAATATAGCAAGCTGCAATATTAGTGGACGAGATGGCGGAGACTCGATGGCTGATGAAACTCTTTATGGTTCTCACGTGGAGGCCACGTACTTTGGTAAGCGCATCGTCAGACGTCAAACGTCAAGTCAAAGAAAATTGACAAATGACCTGGTTTTAATAGGGAGGCCTTTGTTCAGTTAAAATAAATAGGACAATTTTGATTTTGATAAAAAAACAGATTCCCCCTTATCACAAAACAAGGTTTATCTTTAGTCCAGGTTTAAACCATTGAGTCGGGTTTTGAATTTTGAATCTTATTGTCTACCTTCAATTCGAAATACGAAAACTGGCTCAATGGCTTAGTCCTAGACTAAAGTAAAACCTTGTTTTGTAATAAGGCCGCTTATGTTATTCCAGGGTATCACCATTTTATGTACTTACATACCAAATTACAATCAAATCTGTCCAGCCGTTTTTAAGGTGAAAGAATATAAAACATACATTTATTTTTACAAATTTCACACTAATGCTACTCTACTCGCTACAGAGGCGCATTAAGGAAGTATTACAAAATGTAGCAACAAAATCAGTAACTCACCCGGATCATTGAATGGTACCAAAATATAATTGCTTATGTCACTACTAGATATGTTGACAATGCTTTGTAAATTCACTTTTATTGTATCAATCTCTTCTTCCATAGACCTTGTTGTATCTAAAACTACGGTGAAACTTTTTTCACAGGACATTAGGCTGATTAGCCCAAAATATAGCAAACACTTGAACCACATTGTGCCAAGTTCTTAGGGGACTATGAACTAATGAATACATTGAGACGAATCAAAGAGATCCTATTTTAAAATGATAAGGGTTAGTGCAGAAGTAAATCGCAGATAGAATTATCGCACATTACCTCTCCGTCAGCTAACAGTAGTCAGTATGAATTATTAAATAAATATAAATATGTATTTGAGTAAACAGACGTATTCGCGTCTTTATTGGTGTTTAATGTATATGTATATTCTTATAATATACAATATTATAAAGCAGTGAAATTTGTTTAATTGTTTGTTTAAACGCGCTTATCTCCGAAACGGCTGGTTCGAATTGAACAATTGCTTTTGTGTTCGTTAGTCCATGCATCGAGGAAGGAAGGGCTGTAAAACATCTTGCTACAATCAAATGAAGTCGAGCAGTCGGCTTCATCGCGCGAGAGCCGCTAATAATCAATACATTTACGCATAATTGTTGTATTTAAATTTATTTGAGAAACAGATAATGAAATCTAAAGAATTAGTCTGGACTTAGCCTTAGCGGCAATAAAGTAAAATTGCAATGTTGCAACAGATAACTTTTGACCTGAGAATGTTAGTTGTCTGTTTGTAGGGCATTCTCCTTAACTGTTGACACGTTTATCTTGACTACTGTCTCATTCAAAGCAAAGTCTATGTAATAATCTTAAGTCATTTTATGTTGGACAAAAAAATGAGTCCCTTTGTTCACGATGTCGTATCGTAATCATAGTACTGCAGAGAACTAACGTTAAGGAGTTTACACGTAAGATATTTATTATGTTTGCAAAAGACAAACGATTTTGCAATACACTTAGAACCCGGCCCCATTAGGACGCCATGGCAATGTTAACAGCGGCAAAGGCTATTTGTCGGGAGGAAACGCCTGAGCGTCGTCATTGGGAGGACCATCTAGAGGATACGGTGGCGGTATGCCCTGCCTGGGCTGAGCACCGCCGTGTCCTCAGGGAAGTGATCGGCGGCGGCGACCTCTCGCGCCCGCCCGCGCGCGGAGTGAGGGGAACTGAGACACCGTCTCCTCCTTCTGTCAAGCAGTTATGCTCATAAAGAGAAAGGCGGCCACCGTAAGCGCGGGTCTGCGGTCGGCGACCAGGACCAGGCCCGAGCGTGCGGCGCGTAGCGTTCCGCGCGCGCCTTAAAGAGCCATTAGACCACCAGCGACGGGGCCCTAAAGGGCTGATGTTCAGTCGGGGTTGCGAGGTAAGCGAGCCATGAGGCACCGCGACCTCGGCCCAGAGCAGGAGAAGAAACAGGGGGGTTTTTAGTCAGTAAGAGTCTGACACGCCCGGGGCCGGGCGGGAAAAATGATTTGATGATTTGCCACCCACAAAAAAAAAAAAAACAAAAAAAAAGGCTATTTGTGGTATCTTAGCGTCACCAAGTAGAGCATGCCTCTCGAGTCTCGATAAGTGAGAGTCAATTTTCTTTATCTTTTTCCTGTTGCGTAACTAAATGCTTGTACAATACGTTCTAAAATAAAGATGTTGATTAAATTTTCTTTATACATAGATAGGGTACCTAATAATATTTTTCTAAATAATATTTAGTTGTCTTTTTCACAATAACAAAAAGGGCCACTATTTATTGAATAAATAAATTTGAGTTTAGAACGTAATTTGTCCCAACTATTTACCACATAAGTTTATCTGGTACTTATAATATTACTTAGAATAATTCTATTATTTGTTCTTATAATTTGAAGTGTGGAAGGGGCAATATTCGGCACTAATGGGTCGGCTCGACCGGAGTGATGCCACAGAAAACTGGCGTGAAACAACTACAACGTTGTGTTTCGCCATGTGAGTGAGGTTCTGAAGGCCCAACCTCTCGTGAAATGGAGAGATACAGGGTTGCTGGAACCAGCTTCCATTCCCTTTCCCACAAAGATAGGTAGCACTTGTAACTTCTCTAGATTACGGATGGGGCACTGTTTGCTTAAATGATCCAACTTCGTTTTCCATAAAAAAAAAACGAACCAAGAAAATTTGTTAAGTATTGTGTGCGTGCATTTGATCGTTTTATGAAACATTCGTTAAGAGCTAGAACGAGTTTTAAATGAGCGCCTGTTAATTTTAATTAGCAACAATATAAAGCTGCAAGTTGCTCTTATAATGAACTAATGGACCATTTTTTTTGTGTTGGGGAGATCTTGAAATTTGAATGACTTCTTACACCCAGAGTTGGGCGGGAATGTCAGACTCTTACTGACTAAAAACCAGTCCGTTCCTTCTCCTGCTCTGGGCCGATGCCGCGGTGACTCATTGCACTTACCCCGCAATCCCGGCTGAACCAATCCAAACTAATATTATAAATGCGAAAGTAACTCTGTCTGTCTTTTCTTGACGGCTAAACTGCTGAACCGATTTCTATGTAATTTGATACAGACATAGTTTGGAACTCGAGAAAGGACAAGGAGAGGATTGTTTTTATCCCAAAAATCTGCACGCACTCACTATTCCACGCGAACGGAGTCGCGGGCAGAAGCTAGTGAACTATACAATTTCTCGTTTTTTTTTTTAAATAAGGCTTACAGAGTAATTACGTTCTATATTAAAAAAGATAAACATATTTAATTACAAGACCACACATATATAAACCTATTTATGGAATATCTTGCTTACACCAGCTAATGATCAATTTACCTATAAAAACAGGGTTTACATAACCGTCTAGGGATATCCCGTACTGACCTCGAACCAGCCAACCAATTCGGTTGGTCTCCTGTAGCCGAGACATGGGTGGTTGTGTAATGTGCCCAGTTCGTAGGCGTTTTGTTTTGAGGAGGAACATCATCCAATGACTTTGCTCCCCTTAGGTATGGCGAGAGGGAGAGTCAGACTCATACTGACTAAAAGTTACCCCGTTCCTTCTCCCGCGCCGGCCGGAGCCACGATATATATGTAGTATAGCGCTTGCAGTCGCAACCCCAAGAACCAACAGCTTTAAGTATTTACCGAGGTATGCGACTGAACTACCGCCAAATTTTCTGACTTAGAACCAGTCTCTAAGGCACTGAGTTAACCATGCAGTTTTAATACAAATATAATGATATTAGCCGCGCGGTTTCACCCGCTGCTCGGCTTCTACATCGTGGCGTGACGTTTTATTACATTATACCATCAGCCTGTAATTGTTCACTACTGAGCATAAGTTATTATATATTTAGCATAGACCTCTAGAGCATAGGCCTCATCTCACGCAGAAAGTTTTGAGCCTTAATCACCTCGCTTGCTGAAGGCATTTTGGTGAATTCTAACTTATAATTAGAATAAGTCCTGTTTTGAATATGATACATATATGCAAGTACCTACATAAGTATTAGAATTACATTTATCAAGAAAAATAAAAGTAAGTATACAGGTATTGTTTTCCTAAAAAATATATCATTTCGAGCCAGTAGTTTCGGTAATTAGCGAGTTCAAACAAACAAATACTACAGCTTTATTATATTATTAGTACTTATAGATACTTTTGAACTTCTTAAACGTCCTACTACAAACATTCTTACTCAGACTTTCTTTCTCTTTATTACTTAATTATATATGTATGTAGTTGTGCGTAGATACTGAAAGAGGGAATACCAATAATAGAATATTATATGATATATATAATATTAAAACAACCGTTGCAGTATTTCTATTGGTAAAGTCCCGATTCCCAAGTCGTACAAATTACTACAATATGTATCCAAAATGGATCTTGTACCCGAGAACATGTTGTTTTCAATTGTGTCTTGTTCAGAAACAAGGTTTAAACATTTTTCCCTCCTTTTTAGCATTGTTTTGTTTTTTCTCATAAGACAAGGCACCCATAAGTAGTTGTTGCGTTCCGTTAAGATAAAGAATAATACCTTAATAATAAAATAAAATGGAGACTCCATACAAAAATATAATAAGTATAGTCAAAAACCTTATAATAATAATACACTGCGTTAGTTATCACAATAGCAAAAGTACTTACCAAGCAAAAGATCGGGTTTTGGAATACGGACGACGTGGTGTAAATTATTCTAAGATCTAAATACAAATATTGTACTTAATAAAGTGTCGTTAAGTTCTGTAATCTACGTAAGTGTAATTTACGCAGTCAGAAATTTAGCTGCATGTATATGCACAAAACAGAACGAGATCTGAGCATACGGCACGTATCGTTCCACGCGCGCTTCAAAGAGCCAAGGACCGTTTTTTTTTTTTTTTTGTTTGTGAGGGGAAAATCATCCAATGACTTCTCCCGCCCAGGGCCGGGCAGGAGGGAGTGTCAGACTCTTACTGACTAAAAACCCCCCTGTTCCTTCTCCTGCTCTGTGCCGAAGTCGCGGTGCCACATTGCGCTTACCCCGCAACCCCGGATAGCCAAGGACCGTTACAGGTGGGCCCCAGCAGAGCCGATGTTCAGCCGGGGCTCCTGGGTAAGTTGAATAATTGCTCCTGGATCAGGAGAAGGAACGGGGAGCATTAACACCAATTCTCGCCTTACCCTTAGCGAAAAAAACATCATGCAGATTTGAATGTCGCGGTTTAAGAAAGATCGGGATAGCGAAGGGGTTATGATGGTAAGTATAAAACATGTTTGACGTCAGACGAATGACCGCTAAGCATTTGGCGCCACACTCGTGACACCAAAAGGAGTTACAAACGAAAGGAGTTAGGGATAAGGATAGGGGTTTTTGAGATTGAGATTTGGAGAGAATTCGAATTACATCAAAAACTTTAAAGTACTACACGATGTAAGGCGTAAAATGCATCAGTCAGCAGCTTTGCATCAGCGAATTCACAACTGGACACGTGACAGTTAACATGGCACCGCCCGCCCGACATATCCGTCGCCATATCACATGCCATAATCTATCTAATGTATTAAAGCGGTATTGGTGATTATATAAATCTGTAAAATTAATAGGATAGTAGATAATTAATATCTATTTTTATTGTCTGACATGGGTCACAGATTAAAAGAAATGTTAATATGCGTGTTGGGCACCAGCACTCTCCCATTGATGTCTCTAACACCATAGAGGTTATTTAACCACATGTTGAACTTTTTGGCTAGTTGTTTTCTGCATGACCATATGATTAGTCATAGTTAGTCATGAGGGCTAGCCCCTATTTGCTCATATTTGGGTTTGACGTCAACAGTAAACAAGTTTCGACGAATACCAATATGTAAATAAAAATACTGAAACATTTTTAAATAATGAACAGTGTGTTATATTTCATATTAACTGGATCTCTGCTCATAGCGTGATGTTATTAATGGTTACGTAGCGCGCATTTTAATTTTAATCTTAATCGCAATGGCGACACTCTGTACGGGATTCCCGAACAGTTATTATTAGTTAAAGAAACTGCTGAACTTCATATCGTTAGGTCATTGTCGGTTTCATATAACACTGGATTTATAAATATTTGTTCGCTACTGTAATCGTCAGTATACAAAATGATTCCTAAGAGAACGCATTCGGGACTGTTACTTTTGATCATCACATTTTGTGATGTTTTTGCAGAAGATGCCGTGATAAAAAGTAGTTTAACGTTTGTGATAGATGATACTGCTTCTATGTGGGATGAAATAAAGCAAGTGAAAGATGAAGTTAATATTATATTCGAGAAAGTGCTAAGTTCAAAGGCATCGCAGATAGAAAATTTTGTGCTCGTCACTTTCAATGATCCAGGTATGATAGTAATATTTAACCCCTATTACACCGAACTACATTTATCTGCAGATAAAGTAAAAACTCACTTTTAGAGCCTCATGTCATATATGTACAATAGTCTAGTCTTAATCACCACGCTTACCACACGCACCGGCCCGTATATACAATACGAGTATAAAATTGATTTCGAATAACATTGCGTTTGAACAGCCCTTCTTTTTTTAGTTGTTTGTTTGTTTTAAGACTATTCTACTTAAGACACACATTAATAATTATGACACAAACTAATTTTTACTTATATTAGTGTATTTGCTTTGTATTGCGCGTCATGCATGTTCCGTTGTATTGCAGTTGTTGTTCGGGTCTGTTCCCGGGCTTAGATAAAAGACACAAGAAGAAGAAGTAGAAAAATTTGTTTTCTAATTACAATATTAGTTTTTGTTACCTGCAGTAAACCAATAATAGCCGTGATTTACTTGTTTTTGTGATGAAATATAAAGTGCTAATAAAATACATTATTTTAGCCGTTCATCAGCTTACTGTCACCAGAGATCGAGATGAATTTAAACGAGCATTGTCATCAATAAATGTTCACGGGGGTGGGGATTGTCCAGAAGCTGCAATGGAAGGCATTAGCTTAGCACTTAAAATAAGTATGCCCGCCTCATATTTGTATATTTTTACTGACGCATCAGCCAAGGATTATCGAAAATATGAACAGGTCAAGAGTCTTTCACAAAAGATGCAGAGTCAGGTATCTATTACTTAGTCTTTACTTAATACTAGCTACTCTTATCCTTCTACTAGCTCCTTATACTAGCTTCTATAGGCCGTAGAGTGATGTTTTATAGCCTATAGCACCCATGACCACTATAACTCTCTATCAGTGAAGGAATTTTGGAAATCCGATCAACAGTTCCAAAGACTAACCCCTACATACAAACAGAACTAACAAATTACAAATTTTACCTCTTTATGATATTAGAATAGATTATAAAGTTGATGAGTTTGTATTAACGCTCTAAGCTCTGATACTCCTGGTTCGAATTGAACAATATTTTTGTGTTGGATAGTCCACTTACAGAAGAAGGCTGTAAAATATCACGCTATGATCAATAGGGTAAAACCGCATGGAGGAGCGGATTTTATATAATCAAAATATTCTTACTAAAATACTTGTGTGGTTTACTCCTATTGTTGGTTATTGTAATTAACACTTATCATCAGTTAAATTGCTACAAGAAATCGCAAACTATTACACTCAGAGATGTTTTATAGTAACCTACTTATGATTCCTTAGTAACGATTTTATCGATACTTATAATGAGTCTGTAGAGAGGTCTATTCTGTACATGAATAATATTTTCAAAATAAATATCAGGGGGTGATTAGTGATCGACACTGATGCCAAAAAAGCAATCTGTAAAATTTTTGTATGTCTGTCTGTCTGTCTGTATGTTCTTTATAGAAACAAAAACTACACTACTACTACGATTTTAATAAAACTTGGTACAATTATTTTATTTAATTCCACATTATAATATAAGTAGTATAATAGGATTCATTTTTTATTTTTTTAGATCGTTTTTATATTGACTGGCGAATGCTCTGATAGAAGCGGACCTGATTATGAAGTGTTTCACAAATTGGCCGATGCGACATCTGGTCAAGTTTTCCACATGATGAAAGACGACGTGAAAGATGTAAGAATTTTTGTATTAATAATTAAGCAATTTTAAAACATAATACGCAATTTATTCTACCTAAAATTCTGTCTTTGAAGACATCATCCACCTTCGAAAGCTAATTATTATAATACATACTTGAAGTCCAAAATTGAAATAGTATTTTAAGGGTGCAATTAGTGATGCCGATGGACATCTGCAACACCAAAGGATTTGCGAGTTGTGTTGCCAACCTTTTTTAGATTAGAGATAGAAAATTTAACCATACTCTCGCTGCAAAACAGAAAAGCAAACAAGTTTTATTTCACTCCGGTTAAGCCAGGCCATTCACGCCAAAGCATTTTTTCTTTTTGAGGGGAAAATCATCAAATGACTTTTTCCGCCCAGGGCCGGGCGGGAGGGAGTGTCAGACTCTTACTGACTAAAAACCCCCTGTTCCTTCTCCTGCTCTGGGCCGAGGTCGTGGTGCCTCATTGCGCTTACCCCGCAACCCCAGCTGAACATCAGCCTTATAGGGCCCGGTCTGTGGTGATCTATTGGCTCTTTGAGGCGCGCGTGGAACGCTACGCGCCGTACGCTCGGGCCTGGTTCTGGTCGGGAAGCGAGCTGCCCTTATTTGCCGACCGCAAACCAGCGACGCCAAAGCATGACTCTCCAAAATTAACCCACTAATAATACTACATTTTCCACAGATATTAAAATATATCGAGGAGTCTATTACAGGGATAGGAAGCAAAATTGTTGACACAAAACTTCCACCTGGCTATGATAAAAATTTTACAGTGAGTACTTTGTTCTATACAAATATGTTTGTAATGGCTTAACTTTGAAAAAATTATAATTATCATAGAACGTACCATAGGTACAATAATTTTATACCGGTTTTATTTGTGTGCATAAATGTAGCCGGTTTGTTTTCAAACATTAGTAATTTTGTAAGTAAATTATCTGAATTCATCATACAATAATGTCTTCCTAGGATTGTTTCACAACATATTTTATATCCAAAGTGACTAGCTCCTATTGTTTAATTTCGTTTGGGGCTGCAGAACAAATAATTTTGAAAACTTGGTAACAAAAAAAAAAGTATGTTAAAAATAATACTTTTTATAATAACTATCGTGAGACATACTAAATTAACTAAAAATCACGGGTAAACTAGTAGACCTTTTCTCAATTTAAACGTGAGTATCCCGCGATTTTTAGTTAAAAATAATACTGTTTTTTTTTTCTCAGTATTTTGTCGACTCTCACACTGGAGACGTACTGATAGCTTTAACTGGAAGAATACCCAAAATTGGAGATGTAATTGGTCCTGATGGAAGTCGGCCTGAAACAACACACATAGTAGCAGGAAAATCCGAAATGGCGGTGAGTTTTCTTAATACAAACCTTACGAAGATATTTTACAATTTTTTTATCAACCAATGTCAATCACAAACCTCTGTGGTTCGGAATCGATTCATGTCATTTTAAAGGGCATGAAGCGGCAAATGGTTCCGTGGATAACCTAATGGACATGAAGAATATCAGAAAAGTTAAAAGTGCCAATAATTTGGTGGGATTTGAAGGTTCGAGTTTAGGGAAGAGGAGGAAAATCTTGTATTCACAAAATTTATTTTATAAACAGGGATCGATTCAGTGAGAGAGAGAGATAGAGAGAGAGAGAGAGAGAGAGAGAGAGAGAGAGAGAGGGCGGAGAGACAAAGAGAGAAGGACAAAGGGAGGGATTAAAATATATATTATGAATTAAAATCGGTTGTACATTTTGGACATTAAAATGTTATCAGCTGGAATCAATAACTAAAATGACGGCTAAATTTTGTTGTTATGATTTAACAGGTCATGAAGGTGACAGGTGCAAAGCCAGGAAAACACGTTGTGTCTGGCGGAAGTATGTCCGAAACGCATGCAGTCGTGACTGCAGAAAGCACAATCAATTTTCAACTCGGCTTTAACGTGTTTAAACCAAAATCCAGCAAAGACATCGTTACAAGACCGCCGCCAAGTTTGTATAGATTTTTTACTTGTAATGGGGATTTTATAATTTAATTATAAATTTTGAGGCCTTGTTTGGTTTTATTTCTTAATTATCCGTATAATGACCTTTATCTCTTCTCGTGGTAAGCAATAAGCACGTTTTGCAGGCGTGCAGCTAAGTTCGGACAATGAAAGTTATGCCTTTTGTCTGGTGATGGTAGGAGGATAGAAAAGACTAGGGAGAACCAATTTAAGCAATATAATTTTTTTCTGCTTAGTCACCCCCAATTATCCGGTAAAAGGCTAGACTACGTTCAAGGCTTTGTTGTCCAGGCCTCCAGAAGGTGGTTGTCATTGATAAACCTCTTGGCACTCTTGAAGTATTCTAGTAATTTAGCTGGTAGCAATCGGTTTCGACTATGGGAACTCTGCTTTATACATACGGTTTCATAAACATTCGTGTAATATATAGTTATGTCTGCCACTCTAACGCTTTGGCTTGAATAGTAATTTCTTAGCCACAGTGTTGTCTGCGTGCTATCCCCGTTCCCTAAAATACGATAAAAGGTTGCGTTGATATTGTGAAAGTTGTGATTTCTTGCAGAAGGAAACGTTTTCATGGGTGTCAAGTTGCTCGGGTCAGGTGTGAAACTGGAGACAGTCAAAATACTTGGAATGAGCGATGAAGTTATTAAAGAACTAAAATTGGAACTACTCGATGAAAAAGCGCAGTTCTATGTGACGCCGTTATTCGACCCGCCGTCTACTATGTTTCGTGTTACTGTAAGTGTGCTTTATAATTTTAACCTCATTAGTGCCTTCTATCGTCTAGTAGATATAAGACGACGCCATAACGCTGCGCTGTGCCATTTGGTCATGCAAAATGCTTCGTGGAAAAATCTCTTATAAAAATGAAGTTGATCTGACCGCCTTGTCTTCTTTTAGCCAAAATGTACAATAGCATTTATTTCGATTAGTCTAATACTTTTTGAATTACCTAGGTAGGTACTTACTACATTTTTTTGGGTATTTAGCAGTCACAGAGAACAATCTCTAAATAATTTATTTCTTGTTATTGATAAAATGATGTTCACTACGAAACGTCATTTTGCATCCACATGTTTTATGTTATAGGTTAACGGATATGACATTAATACTAAAACACCAGTGACGAGGAGAAGTCCAACACCTATATCAAGACAAGATTTGTCTACAGGTAGATTTTCTTTCATAACTTAATTTTATTCAGAGTTCATGTATTCATTTAACATGTATGTTTAACTTAATTTATGAAAGTTTCTTCACGTCAGTATAATAAAGGTACAGTCTGCACAGGTATTTCGTAACCAGAACAAAGACACTAAATAATGTATAGCTCATTAGTCGCCTATTATTAAACAAAATGTGGCTTTATTAACAAATCTAATTTAACTCAATAATTTAACTACTGTCTCTCTACTAAATCACGGCTCAATCAATTGTGCAGACTGTGCTACCCACATTTCTACATTTAGGTTTTTGTTTGTAGATTCTACTGTGAAAGTAGACACAGCACCGAAAGTAATGATTGAAGGTGACAAGTCAGTGACCCTTTACGTTGACGATCCATTAGAACTGACTTGTAAAGTTCACGCTTATCCTGAACCAGAAATAACATGGGAAGATAGGGACTATGGAATCGTTATGCCTGCAGAGGTAATTTTTGTTGAACATCCGATATTGATTATGTTATACTCAGATTATAAGCTCATGTTGCTAAGGTTAGGAAATCCAATCTTCAGCACGAATGGGTTGCCTCGACCGTAGTGATACCACGGCCTCAAAGAGAAAAGTGGCGTTGAACAACCTCAGCGTTGCTTCGCCTTGTGAGTGCGGTTACCGGATGCCCAATACCTCCCCATCTCCCCATCCCGTCCCAATCCTTAAATATCCAAAACCCTTATCCCCAACAGGCCCGCAAACCATTCTTAACTCCTTTGGTCCTGCATAGACAATCTACATGGGCGGCGCCAATTGTTGAATTGTTGAAAATGAGGATGGTAGTCGGTCTGCCCGTTTGCCGACTATAAAAATAATGTTTACCTCAAAAGGAACTTTAGTCAGACGGGTTTTTAGTCAGTCAGTAAGAGTGTGACACTTCATCTCGCCTCACCCTGGGCGAGAGAAGTCATTTAATGATTTTCCTCTCACACATTTTTTGCTAAGCGGAAATCATCAATCAAGCTTTTGCTTAGAGTAATTTCTTCTTAATAATGTACCAAATAACAAAAAAAAAACAAATTATTTATGTATGCATTTTTATATTTAAGCATATTTCTTTTTGTTAATACTTTACTATTATTTTTTGCAGACGAACATAGTCGAGGTACCCTATGACTATGTCAGTGTTTTAAAAATATCTAACGCAAACAGAAATACTACTTACCAATGCAAAGCTAACAATCGCAATGGACACGACGGTCAAGGTGTAGAAGTTATAGCAAAAAGAAAATTCTACTTTGAAGTAATTGATTCTCCTAAAGGTAACCTAAATTTTAAGAATATGTTCTTTATTAACAGAGTTATGAAAAGACATGTATCACAGACGTATACAGAGTCTGAACAGATTTTGGTATCCACACAAGATACTAAACATTAAGCCAGTAGAAAGGCAGTGGCTATTATTGTTACATTTATTATAAAAATGTATGAAGCTATATCTGTAGTTTCCATTGATAAATTTAGAAGTCAAAAAATTTTTTTGTTACCTTCTTTTTTTACATGCATACAAATAACTGTGACAAGAAGTGTAACTAGAATGTACAGAGAATTTAACAAAAACCTTTACAGTAAAGATATTGGTGTAAGGGTTTGACTTAAATATGTTTCAATATTAATAATATCAGCATGAGATAATTATTACTCATGTATCTTTTATCTGCCAATTTTTTATAGATACTGGCATAAAATATCAAAAAGAAGGTAAACTTACATGCAAAATAGATGCCTACCCATCTGCGACTATAAGTTGGTATAAAGATGCAAAGCCTTTGTCCAGTAGTAGTCGTATTGAAATGTCCAAAGATAATTCAGTGGTGACCTTGAAAGACATGCAACCGGGGATGGAAGGAAAGTACATGTGTGAAGCAAGGAATGATATAGACAGAAAAGTATTCTATTCCAACGTCGAGATATTTGGCGTAGGTAAGTGAGTTTTTCATATCTATAGCAATAATGTAAAATAGAAAAACATGGATTATTTCATCAAACCCTAAGTGGACGCCAACGTACTAGCACCTATTATTCTTTTATTGTTTCTTGAATTACCACGATTAAAAGGATTACTTTCAAGTAACAAAATACATGGACATACTTTTATCATAGTATCCTGCAGGACCAAAATCTGTTAGGTGAAGATTTACACAATTCTTTTCTCACACGAAATCTATTTTAACAAATCCTATCATTCCAATCTTTAACCCCGTTCAAATCCCCAAATCCCTAACGACGAGTTGTTACAAATAGCCGACAACATACTTGTAATTTCATCAGATGATCCCATTGCTCGTCTTCCGATCTTTTCCATAGATCAGAGATCAAAGGAAAATAACAAGAAATTGCGTGCGTGTAATTTTACTGACAATTTTGTATGCAGTCTAACAAAATTATTATGTATTTCAGAGAAACCCGTTATCGATAAGTCAGTTGACGAGATCAATGTCACAGAAAAAACAAATGGCAAATTGACTTGTAGGTGAGTTTACACATCATAAGGGGATAGACCTTGCGTCTAAGATATAACTTATAACACGTATCCATACATATACATTTAAACGCGCTAATCTCAGAAAAAAAATACTGGTTCGAATTGAAAACTTATTTTTCTTTTGAATAGACAATTTATTGAGGAAGGCTTTAGGCTCTAAAACATCACGCTACGAGCTGCAGAAGCCGAGTAGCGGGCGAAACAGCGCGAGAGTAGCCATTTATAAATATTTTAATTGGAGATAGGTGCTGCTGAAAGAGGAAAAATATTTTAATACCTCAATATTATAATTAAAAACAACAGAATATTTATTATGTCAATTACTGTCATATTATACAAGCCTACATATTTCCCTTACAACATAAACAGGTGCAAATTATAAATAAATAAAAATTGGTAATAAATTAAAATAATAGGTAGTTTAGACGCCAGATTTAAGGACAACATCACTCGGAAACTTCGGACTTTTAATTTACATTTATAATTTCGAAATCGTAAATCAGCCTTGAGCAACCCGGTGGTACATGCTCAAAAATTCTCCGAGTGAGAAGAGGCCTTTGCTGCAATGGACACGTTAACTGTTAACTATTATAATGAATAAAATTTCATATCGAATTGAACTACATACTTTTTATCTATAAGAATGGATCTTTTATTCGTATAGGTCGCCCCGCATGGGGAGAGAGGAAGAGCCAGACTCTTACTGACTAAAAAGCATCCCGTTCCTTTTCCTTCTCTGGGCTGCGGATAAAAAGGCAAAAAAATTAAACTGGTTAACGACAACTGCTTTCAATCCAACATGCATGATGCACGATCTGAGTAGAAAAATAACAGAAATGCGCCTTAATTTCAAGTTTCTTGATGCAATACAACTTACAACGATGTATGATTGATTATTTATTATAATTATCTATACTAATATTATAAAGAGGTAAAATTTGCAAGTTTATAAGTTTGTATGTAGGGGGTAATCTTTGGAACCACTGGTCGGATTCCCAAATTCTTTCACTGATAGATAGCTACAATGTTCCCGAGTGCTATAGGCTATAAAAATTTTTTTGGAAGTTTCTTCAATTATAAGTGTAATGTTTTCCAATTGGCTCGTTTCATTTCATATACTATATATGTATATTTCGTATTTACTCTTCTATATATTTTTGTCAAACTCATAATCAATTTATGTATAAACTTTATTTTTACAGAATTCTTAAAGGGATCCCAAAACCTACTATAGTCTGGTCTTTCCGAGGTTCGAAAGGTAAAAAAGAGTACTTGAAAGAAAAAGGTGAGATCATACAGTTGAAAAATGCTAAAAAACACCAAAGTGGTGTGTACATGTGTACAGCGATAAATGTCCTGGGAGCAGATTATCACGAAATAGAAGTTATAATAGAATGTAAGCATGAATTTTATTTAAATCACTTTTATTTATATAAAAATGGATCCCAAAATATGTTGGATAGCGCATAACTCAACAAAGCTTGGACCAATTTAGCTAATTCATTTTTTCTTGTGTTTATTATTGTCAGGGGAATGTTCTTATTAAAGAAAATATTACAATAGTACAGGGTAATAAAAATTCGGAAAAAGTGACGCTTTGGTTGTTAGCAAAAATGTTGGACTCTTGCGAATCGGGAGAAGGCCGCTAGTAACTGATAGTATTCGAGAGTCACCTGATTATATTTTTAATATAATTATATTTTTTTAAATACTATCAGCACAATACAAATTGTAATACATGAAGTAATTAACGTTTTATTCGATACAGAAACTTGCAAAGCAATAACGAAGCACGTTTTTACGTCTATTGAATTTGGGCCAACTGTCTCAAAAAGAAAAAGTAAGCGTACTGGTTATAAATATTCATGTATTTTTTAGATCCACCACATATAAAAAGGGATGTAAAGGAAATGAAGATTGTAGATGGCGATGAAGTAAAGTTGATGTGTGACGTCGATGGAGTGCCAGCGCCAATGGTATACTGGACATTCAATAATACCAAAGTAACAAGTACTACGAGAACTCGAATTACTGCCGATTACAGTTTAATGTAAGTTCAAATACTATACACACAGCAATATAAGTCATGTGTTAAGCTTCTGAGCTCTAAGCTCTGCTTACCAATACCAATGTGACTTTTTCCGAGTTAGATGTACTTTCTATGATTATGAAGACACCCCTGACATACGGTGAAAGAAAACATCGCAAGGAAACCTTGACCTATAATTTCTAATTACAAGTTTGAAATAGCCAATCCGCCTTGATAAATCGTAGTGATTAATGCATAAATCCTTCCCCGTATGTGAAGAGGCCTTTGCTTAGCAGTAGACACTTATACCAATGTGACTTTTTCCGAGTTATATGTACTTTCTATGATTATTTAGACACCACTGACATACGGTGAAGGTAAACATCGTGAGGAAACCTGGACTTATAATTTCTAATTATAAGTTTGAAATCGCCAACCCGCATTGAGCAAGCGTGGTGATTAATGCTCTAACCTTCTCAGTATGAGAAGAGGTCTTTGCTCAGCAGTGGGCATTTATAGGCTGATGATGATGATGAGACACTTATAGGCTGATGCTGATGATGATAATGATAATGGTAATGATAAAATGATAAAGGTTATGGTAATGAAGATTATGATGATGATGATGATAATAACCTTCTCTGTGGGAGAAGAGGCTCTGTTTTGTTTTCTCAGCAGTGGATATCTATAGGCTGATGATGCCAAAGATATATATCGGCCACCTTTAGATGTATTTGTTTATTTTCTCTTATAAATATATTTAAAATTAATTACTGTTCATTAATCTCTCTGCAAAGCTTTATCAGCTGGATCGACTTGGTTAATTTTGTCTTCAACTATCCATGGAAGTCCGAAGAAAGTTTATGGAAATTGCGAAAATTGCGAGCAAAAATATTAAACATTTCATTTTTTTCCAATGCTAACTGCTCTCTAGTCTAATATCTAAAATCTTTATATTAGATACTTATATTATGCATGGTACTAAACTGACATGACGTATTATCCCTTTTTTAACAGTAAGAAACTAATTTTCATTTTGTTACAGAGTACATTAATAATCTACTTGATTTTAAAATAATTAATGACAGCTCTTATATAAGCAATAAATATCACTAGCGGTCGTATTTATTTATCACTAGCGGTCGCACGCGGCTCCGGCCGCGTGGTTGTCTATTTTACACTTTTTCAAGTCTTTTTTTTTACTTTCTCTACGAACAAGCCTTCTCTAAATAATTCAAGAACAAAATTTATGGTATAAGTCGGCAAACGAGTAGCCGGATTACCTGATAGGTAAGCAATCGCCGCCCATGGACACCCGCAACACCAAAGGAGTTACGAGTGCGTTGCTGACCTTTTGGAGATAGGGGTTATAACATTACTACGAAAAGTGGCATTGATTTTTATACAATACATACATTAAATAACCGATTAGTTCCGTGTACATAATACCTACACTATTATAAGCTGATTGATAAACCCCGAGGCAATTGTTCCATTATAATTAGCCTAGCCAAGTTTCCAAACGTAACTTAAGTAAAATAGAAATAAAACTTGATCGCCAAAAAAAAAAAAATTAATGTTTATTTCGTCACAGATGCAACAAAACACATATTTCGACCAAAAATAGTTTTTTTCTGCTTTATCTTTTATTAAACTTTATTATCATTTATTACGCAAGTGTCGATGTCAGGTTACTCTTATCGCAATTTTTTTGTCAATGTCATTTAATATTGTACATAACATCAGGTCTGCGAAAATATGAGATGTACTTATTAGTAATTTTTATGGCTTATACAACCCATTAAAAATATGAACCTATTTCTAGAAGAAATAAATGTAGATCCTGTAAGAATATTTATTTAAATATAAATAAAATGATATGACCTTCATTAAGACGAAGAAAGGTGAGGATGCCATGGCATCTCTCTAATCGTTTCTCAAAGTTTGGTCTTACAAGCCCATGCTATAAAAGCAGGCTCGGTCCTCGGTTGCGATAGACGCTGCGTCTACTCTGCCACGACAGAGCTCATTCTACCACGCACTAATTTGGCGCGGCAGTGAAGTTTCGCACAATTTGAGACATATATTATTATTATACCACCACCAAACCAATATTATATAGTGGTATTTCCGAACCGATACCGACCTTCAGACTTTACTTATAAAGGAACGGCAACGCGCCCATGACTCCTCTGATGATGTAGGTGTCCATGGGCGGCGCCGATCACTTACGATCAGGTGATCCGTCTGCTCTTTTGCCTCCTATTCCAGAAAAAACCATTATTATCTAGATTTGTTTATAAATATAATTAACTTAAATTGAAAATTCCAGAAATTCCGTGATATATTCTCGCACGTATCATTTATGTTTCTTCGTGACCCCTAACGAGATTAGGCTTGGATACCAAATCCCTTGAGTTTATCTGATGACAGATGCGTCATTGGTGACGATGAAATTACCTATTAATTGTTATTAAGTAATACAACATTTTAATTTCCAGAATCAAAACCACTTTAGGTGACACTGGATATTACGCTTGCCATGCAGAAAATAAGCTTGGAAAAGATGAAAGAAAAATATTCCTACAAGTATATGGTAAACAATTTTGGTGTCTCTTGAAACTATCTTTTTCCGAAGTGGTTTTCCTTGTCATTTGACGAGAGAATCCAAGACCCATATCAGTCATAATAATATTTAATTTGAGAATAATAATATTTAGTAATAACTATACCCCTCTTAAAAGGGTCTTAAAAGTTTCTATGCTGATGATCTCGACTGCTTAAGGCTATCGAGATCCCATGTGAGATATCAAATTACCTCTCCCGTTCTGGGTGCATCCGCAAGGATTAGCAGACTCTTCGTATCTAAAAACCACTTCGTTCCTTATTTTGCTGCGGGCCCGGGTTGCAATGCATTATTTAATTGCGTTAGCACCCGTAAGCCCAACCGGAGACCGAAATCGTCATTAAAGTGTTCAATGTTGTCTTCGCAGTTCCAGTATCCATTGAGAAACCAAAATCGACCGTAGTGGAGACCATGGTTGGTAATAATAAGTTGCTAAACTGTAGAGCCGATGGGTACCCTCAACCAGACATAAAATGGACTTTCCATAAAAGTCTTGGTGCTCCTGGTGAAGATGTTACGTAAGTATAGCAGCATAGCTGACTTACCTGATAGTATTGTTTTTGTTGATGTTGTGTTCCGAAGCATAAATTCAGATTGAGTTTCCTCATTGGTATTTTTGCAACGCCAGAGTAGTTTGAGGTTCGTTACCAGTCAAATCAAATCAAATCAAAATCATTTATTCCAACTAAACCATAAATAGATACTTTTGAAACGTCAAAATAGAATAGTAGTCTGTTCGTCAGTGAAGCAAGGCGCTCGTTCCAAATTGTAGTTTAGAATGGAGAAGAACGAAAAAGAAACTCCATCGTTACTCTTTTAAAAAAATATTATTTGATTTACAGTATATTAGTTTTAGGTTAGATATTTGAAGACAAACCTCCAACCGTCAAATCTATAGAAGGTTTGACCATGATATCAATCCGCTGAAGAACATCTTGAAAATTATAATATCTATCAAAGACGAGTCAGAAATTAAAGAAACAATTCTTATTAGCATTACTGGATTTAAATTATGATTTAAAACCTTAACTGTATTATTTTCTACTAGGTCTTCTAAACACCCTTCACTACTGCTACAGAAACTGCAGCTGAAGCAACAAGGTTTTTATATGTGCCACGCTGAAAATAAAATTAGTGGTGCAGCAAATATTACTTATGAAGTGAAAGTATATGGTATGCAGCTTTTGTTGTGAGCTATATTCGTTTCTGAATACTCTTAAAATGACATGTTACAAATAACGTCGAAATTTCTTCAGAAATGTTATTTTTAAAACAAATTGATGTTATTAATTTCATTAAATTCTGTGTTATCCAATACCCTAATTGATTTATTATATTTTGGGGTTGACTTATTGCGATTAAAGTTGAAGGTGCGTTAACTTTGATTAAAATAAAATCTTATAGTGCCGCTCCTTACTTCTTGTGCGGCTACTCCATAAAAAATATGTAACAAAAAGTCACACTATGTTTGTTGTTCAGCTATTTCATTTTCTGTTTTTGTAAAGTTATGGGGAATGAGATAACGTAATTCGCATAAAATACTTAATGATATTTACATTTTCAGCTCCACCGGTCATAGAAAATGTGTATCCAAGTAAATATTTTGAAGCGATTGATGGAGATATGCTGCTTAAAATTCAGTGCAAAGCTACGGGCAGCCCTACACCCACCATTACCTGGCAGAAAAGCGGTCAAAAATTGGCTATGGGTAACGAGTATTAAATACATAACAAATAGCGTCTCATATCATGAAAAAAAGCCTCCGTCGATTGAATTTTCATTTCAAAAAGAGGTCTACTTGGTACAACATTTACATGCCGCTCTCCCTGCTCTTGATTATGAGTCCCAATTTGACTTGAAACTAGTAGCGTTTTTTTTTCGAATTATCTTTGATCAGACTAGTAATAGGAATCGAGTTATCGGAATAATCGAGTGACACGTTGCCTTGTAGCCTTTCTCTTCGTAGTAAATTTATTATAAATTCGCGGACAAGTTACAAGAAAAATATTAAGTGAAAAATTAAACAGTTAAAGTTTTTAGCATGGTGGCTGGGCAACCTTCTGCTGTGCCGGATCTATTCTTCGTGTGATCCAAATATTATTGTTGCGGGTCTATCAAAGGAGAAAATAGAAGTGGGGGCAACGTTTAAATATACAAAAAAAAACTCTACTTTTAGGGAAAACTAAAAGTTTTGACCTGGACATAAGAACAGACTGTAACTTAACTAAAAATCGCGGGTTACTCACGTGTAAATATTGAGAAAAGCTCTACTAGTGTTTTAGAGCAGCGTGCGCGGACGCGGCGACGTCGCGCAGCCTACAGACGTCGTGCAGTCAGTAGGCTGCGCGACGTCGCCGCGTCTGACTGCACGACGTCGCCGCGTCCGCGCACGCTGCTCATGAGGAAGAACCCCTCTGTGGTTCGAAACTAGTAGAGCTTTTCTCAATATTTACACGTGAGTAACCCGCGATTTTTAGTTAATTTAGTATGTCTCACGATAGTTATTATAAAAACAAGACTGTAACTTAATGTATCACAATTTGTTTACACAGGTACTGGTTGGTATGACATGGAAGATGATGGTACATTGCTCATCAAAAACATAGACCGTGCTGCAGAAGGTACATACTTATGTTTGGCAGAAAATTCTGTTGGCAATGCTAGTGACTACTATGAAGTGATTGTTAAAGGTAAGGACTAATGTAGTAAAAAGTTTTTTTGTTGAAAAATAAGTTTTAAGTAATTAATAAACGAATTGGGTCTTCGGGAATGCCGGGCCATTCATGCCGAAGCATGGCTCTCCCAAAATAATGGAAATGAATAAATCGCACACCCAGGTCCATAAAGGCATAAGTCCACTTACGCCTTTCACTAACTTTACAGGGGAGCAATCAATTGTTTAACTAGATATATATCTATTTTGTTTTGACTTTATGATATATTGTTATAAAACAAAAAATAGTAAAAGAAACAACCGACGTTTTCCTTATTTATTTCAGACATCCTCAATTGTAATGTTTTTTAGTCCAATCATCGCTTTAGAAATATTTTTTATAGTGAAACTAGTCATGCTTACGTCTGTTACGAAGTTCTGTCTATACTATGATAAAATACAGAAGCTTAGTACAGCCCTTTTTCGCTTAATTTTATTTTACTTATCGGACCGTAAGACCCGTTTGTAGCTTTCGTTGTTAAAAAATAAAACTAAAATATAGTTTTAAATCTTAATACGTATTTCAGTGAAAAAATAAAAATATTTTTAATCAAATTTAAATTAATCAGAATTCATCATTGAATCATTGGTGTTTTTCCTTTTTTTTGTGAGGGAGAATCATCAAATGACTTTTACAGGAAAGAGTGTCAGACTCTTACTGACTAAAACCCCCCGTTCCTTCTCTTGTCGCCGAGCCGAGGCCGCGGTGCCTCATTGCTCGCTTACCCCGCAACTCCGACTGAACATCAACCTTATTGGGCTCCGCCTGTGGTGGTCTAATGGCTCGTTTAGGCGCGCGCGAAACGCTACGCGCCGTACGCTCGGGTCTTGTTCTGGTAGGGCGACGAGCTACCCTTACTCGCCGTCCTTAAGCCTGCGCTTACAGTGCCGCCGGAGACCGATCGGAGATAGAACATCTCCTCTCGAGTTCGATCTTTGGTCCCCGAATCTGCACCCTGAGGGTCGCCGCCCGGTACTCCTCGTACAGCTCCGCCTCTCTGGTTTTAGAGTCCAGAGAGCATATACGGAACCTGCGGTGCCTGGTGTATCGGCGTCGCGCCGCGGTGAACTCACGCGTGGAGCAGCTAGCTCCCGCGACCAGCAATACACCTGGTGCTTGCGGTTGCGGGGCCGGACCCGAGGCATCGGCACGACAGAAATCCTGGACATGACGTGCTGGAGCCATCTAGCTTCCTCGTTAATGGCTGGTGGTATCACCCAGGTCTGCACGACTGCGGCTCCTAGTAACAGCTCCCGGTCCTGCTGCCACAGCGCCCAGCGCATCTGACTGGCGGGTCTGCGGACTCAGCGGAAACGTTGAACCGGATGCACCGGTGATCGAAAAACGTCTCCACCTCCTCCAAGACGCGCCAGCCGACAACGCGCGATGACAGAGGGGGGCCCGGCAAACGAAATGTCCACCACTGATTCGCCTTGCATAAGCACGCACGTGGGTACAGAACCCTGGTTAAGCACGAATAGGCCTGTCTTCGACCATCCTGCCCCGGGCGTCAGTGAGCCAGGAACCCCAATCCAAGTTCTTGGCATCACGGGTAGGAGACGGAACCCGTCGACGATGGTGACTAACATAACTCCAGCAATGAGTTGTGGAAATCGACGAGAGTTCGGTTCGAAGAGAAGTAGGTTCGGTTAGGAGCCTCCGAGACCTAGAGGTCAAGGCCGACTGAGATCCTGAGCAGCGGTGCAGTGGTTGGTGTTCGCCTGGAGGAGGCGTAATGGAGCCATTATTGAAAATACAAATTGTTACATGCTGTTACCTCTCTGTTAACTTGTTTATATGACGAGTTCGTGATTACTTCATCCAACTAGACCAAATCGTTAATGGAAAAACGGCGTAAGCATGATTATCGTCGTGAACATAGAAATACAGCTTTTTTTTTGTTTGATTATTTTTATTTGTGATGGGGTGTAATCGGTATTATTTTAGGAAAATCGTTTTTTGATTAGGCATTAAAAATAATAATACGAGATAATAACTATTAAAGTTTTTATTTTATTTGATGGAACGAAAGCCTAAGCATGATAAGGTGTAATTTAATGAATTTAACGTGCTTATGATGATTCGTCGACTTTATTATTTGAAATAAATATTGTAATTGCAATGACGCCAAAAATACTTTTGGCGTTACTTTTGTTATAAAATCTTAATTTAAGTCCAAATTGAACTGAATAAATATATATGCAACTAGCCTCTCTTGCGCGGTTTCACCCGCTGCTCAGCTCCATTTGATTGTAGCGTGATGTTTTATAGTTTAGAATATACTAGTTTATAATATAGTTTAGTGAAAGAATTTTGTCAATCCGATCAGCGGTTTCAAAGACTTACCCCCTACATACAAACTTACAAATTGTACTTCTTTATAATATATAAGTATAGATAATATATGTTTTGCTTTGTTGACCAGATCAACAAAGACATAGGGTACGAAATGTACACAATAAATGAAACATTATTTATCCTTTGTGAGGGAAAAATCATTGAATGATTTCTCACGCTCAGGGTGAGGCGATATGGAGTGGCAGACTCTAACTGACTAAAGCCTCCCCTTTCCTCCGAGGCCATGGTGCCTCCCGCAACCCCGAGTTCTGAGTACTTTATACAAAACGATATTTATCTTGGCGTTTTATTTCAGATTTATTAACCGTAATACCCTCAAAAACTTTGTATGTACCGGAAGGCGAGTCCATTAGTATCAAATGCGAAATACCACATGGAGCTACGGATCAATTGCGTTGGTTTAAGGTAATTTGCAAAATCAATTATTAAAATGAATGTATAGAAAAAATAACAAAAAAAAATAAAAATAAAAGTTGTATCTGGAATCAGGTTCCGATTCGACTTTGATTAAATATAATGCAAGAAAATAAAACTATATTCATAAGGCAGTATCTAAAAATGAAACAGTGTTTTTCATACATAATTAATGGGTAGACTTAATAATATCAGAGGGCCTACCATGACGTGTTGAAACATGAATATTCCGGGCAAGAAAGAGGGATGGAGCTATACACAAAATGAAAATAATGTAAGTGTGGGAGACCCATCCTTCGGCTCGACCGGAGTACCACGGCCTCACAGGAAACCTTCGTGAAACAACCACAGCGTTGTGTTTCGCCGTGTGAGAAAGGTTACCGGAGGCCCAATCCCTCCCCCGATCCCTAAATCTCCAAATCCTATATCCCTAAAAGGTCGGCAACGCGCTCGTAACTCCTCCGTTGCGTTAGTCCATGGCCCTGGCGGCGCTGATTGCTTACTATCAAGTAATCCGTCTGCTCATTTGCCGACCAATTACATAAAAAACACGTAACATAGTAGGCCTACAGATCTTGCTGATTCCAACTCGTGTTTCAGTGAATTTTCAGAGAAGTTTCGTTTGTTTCACTTGTATTTTTTTTTCATACAGGATGGAAAAGTGCGGATAGAACGAGATGAAATCTATTTATACAGGGCAACACGGAGTGACGACGGGGTGTATACTTGTCGGGTGTCCAATTTCCTCAAAACACGTTCTATAGCAACTAAACTAGTGGTCGGATTCAAACCTATATTCAGTAGCGAAGCCGAGGAAACAATAGAATTTGTCCTCGGATCAGATCTTACGTTACTTAATTGTGAAGCTTATGGCGAACCAACACCCAAGGTAAAGCTTGTGTCATTAAAATATACTCATTAATGATTGTCGTTTTGCTTTCCTGTCAATATATTTTAATCATCCCGGCAAAATTATCATAACAATAAATGGATCTGGTGAAGCACTGTTCTTTAAAAATCTATTAGGTATTTTCTTATCCTATTTATTTAAAGGAGAATAATACATTTACGTTTACGCCCTGAAATTAATTTTCCTTTTTATTCTCTTTATTCGTTCTTTTTCATTACAGCACGCGAAATGGACTCATGACGGAGTATTTATGGAGGTAACTACCATGTCCTATGTGTTAGGTATGGAATTAGGAGCTACAGGAATTTATGAATGTGAAGTCAGCAATAAATTTGGGAGCATTCGTCGATCATTTAATGTTACGTCCAGAGGTAGGATTTTCTTTTCTTTCTTTTGACCTTTTTGAATATAACTACTGCCATTGTTGTCCTCTGCTTTTTCAACACAAACAGAAACTAAATTCTTCTGAATGCCATTAATGATATGACGTTTATTGCAGATTGTTTATTGGACATAAAAAAAACTTTCACAGGAAAACATCCTATTATGTTTTCAACGTCTAGTGGCTGGTCTGTGTTCCCAATAACCGACAACTACATGATAATACCACATAAAAGTCACTTTTATATGAGATGCCCATCAGGATTCGTCAACCCCGAACTTTCACTAAATTCCAACATTATGCCGTATTGTGAACGTGACGACATAGTAAAAATAGCAGGAAATTTCTATAAATTCGGAGATTTAAAATGCAATAAAGAAGCAAAACCAAACTTTGAAGACACAGAAGAACAATGTTTTGGTGATAATACAGAGTACGTGAAATTAGGGTTTAGACCAAGCAGTAACAATAATTATGTCGTGGAGGTATATCGCGTTTGTTTTGACAAAGTGAATGATGTCCCTTTGTTTACTATGCATCAACTGTCTCCGCACCACACTGATATCCCTTCAACGTCTCAATGGTACAGCTCTTCTGATACATCGACTGAAGACTTTGAAGAATTGTACAATTGTAGAAGGCAACTGTACGATGTTAGCATGGCTCTTGGGAGAGGGTTACGATCTGCTTCTTGCTGTTTTGGTAAAAGACATCTCGTGAACCCACGGGATTTGCTTCCAGGAATACCAGTAACTGTATCATTTGAGTATAAAAATATAGTTCCACATTGGAGTACTTGTAATTCAAAGGTGAGAGAAATCTTTATCGGTGTGCAACAATTAGCTATTTCATTCCCTAAATCAAATCAAAATCATTTATTCCAACTAAACCATAAATAGGTACTTTTGAAACGTCAAAATAGAATAGTAGTCTGTCAGTCTGTTCGTCAGTGAAGCTAGTTCCAAATTGTAGTTTCGAATGGAGAAGAACGAGTAAGAAACTCCATCGTTACTCTTTTTAAAAAAAATATTTGTTTTACAATTCACCAATAATAAATTTTTTATACATTACTGTACCTCTATGTGAGAATAATGCAGAGACAAGTTGTTAATAAAAAGGAACAAATGATGGTCTATTTAATCTATCATTAAAATTTTAATCCTTTGTTGTCTCGAACATGGCGCTCACATATGCGTACTCACAATCCAAAAGAACGCTTCTATATAAACTCATTCAAGGTTTCATTAATTTTGAGAATTTTAATAACTACTGACTACATATTTGAGTATTGTCCAGTGGAGCCGAACCAACATGCTGCCAGGCATTCTTATCCTCAATATAATCTGAAAGTTTGTAGTATGCCTGTCTACATAATTCGCGTTTAATATAAGTTTTAAATTTTCGTTCATTAAGATTTAATACACTTCTTGGAATTTTATTGTAACAATTTACACAGAACCCCATAAAGGATTTCTATACTTTGGACAGACGGAATCGTGGCACAGCCAGCCTATCTTTGCCTCTAGTATTAAAATTATGTCAATCGCTTCTTTTTTCAAATAATTGCAAATTTTTCCTTACGTACATAATATTTTCATATATAAACTGACAAAGGAAGAGGTGAATATTTAAATGGTCACTTTTCCGCTAGTTACGTTATTAGTTTCAATTAAAAGAAACCTTCATTTGACTGCCTTGTCTGTAGTGGGTTCAACACTAGACTCCGTGCTGTAGATTTTTGCTCGTCACTCACAATAACTGACCCAAAATAGAAGTCATAAAAAGAAAATTTTATTATTTTCAGAATTGGGACGATTTGGAAATATTGGTAAGGAAGCTGGTTAAAAAAGCGGGCCGTGACCTAATCGTATTTACAGGCACATCAAACGTCCATCATGGTAAATTGTCGGTTGATATAAATATTAACAATGGCAGAGAAAGAAAACAAACAATTCCACCATACTTGTGGAAGGTAAGTCCATATACAGGGTGTAAAAAGACACTTAACGAAGCCGTTAACTACGCTTACTGCAGTTCTAGCTAAGTAGCTTTACGCTAAAATTATCACTGGGAAACGACTTTTATTTTTAGGTATCAAAAAAAATAATAATTTTATTGCGCGCAATGTAAAGCAAACGGGCTTCGTGTCATTGTGTACGTAGGTTCACAGCTTAGCATGAAAACGCTGTGACAAGTACGTAGGGCGACGTTTTACTTCGCAACAACAAAACAATTCTGTAAAATAAAAATCCTACTGAGATGCACGATGTTTTTTGTGCGGGTCTGCATTTATTTATTACGTACATTACTGTTCGTAACTTCAAAAAAAATCGAAAATTCAGATAATGTTTGTTTGGAAAAAAGTTTTGTAATAATACTCAGAATTCGACTGCGCAAAAAAAAATGCATCTTCGACCTTCAATATCTCGAGAACCCGTGGAGTCCCAGTCCCTATGGTCTTAAAGAAAAAAATGATCCAAATAATGGGTAGAAAACGTGGCATTCGGCTTCGTTAAGTGTCTTTTTACACCTTTTATAAGGCCAGAAAACCACGCTTGTAAATGAACAGACAGTTGTTCCTTTGATTATCAAGTGTATAATCAAAAAGTTGATCTCAACTGCAAAATTGTTTCAGGTGGTTCAAGACCGAGCGTCGGATTCGTCTATTGCGATAGTACAAGTGAATATACCAGAATTGACTAGAGAAGAAGCAAGGAAACATGTTCTGTGTACAGATATTTGTGATAACATCGACTGGATTGCCGGCCCAGAATGGAATGATGTAGATAGAGGCTACACCTATTGCTGTAGTATGAAAGAATTCGAAAAGGCTTTCGGTTACACTCGGCCTATCACTAGTATGAAACGAGTCCTCTTCGATGCTAGTTTGACTCCCGATTCATTTTTGATTTTGTAATGATTTTGGAAATAATATAGTAGTATACTTATATGTCCTGTTGAATTTTATAGTAAAAGTAGTAAAAAAAGTATTCTAAATTATTTATAAAGGTATTCTGTATTGCAAAATCCCGGTTCTTAGGCTCGAAGATGCACTTACGACATGCGACAGCACCAATGTTATCAAAGAAACTTGGAATATTATTAATGGTGAGACAGGAAAGTCTGAAAAGAAAGTTAGTCAATTTAGTCTTGTAATTGAAAATAAGATATTAAAAATAGATGTAGAAATTGCAACTGCTTTTGAAGACTTCTTTTCTGACATTCCTGTATTCACTACTAAGTTACTATCTCACACTGTTGCAGAATCTTTACTTAGGGAACATGGTGTAGCTTGCAACTCAGATTTACCTTCAAACACATATATAGGTATAACAAAGACATTGTTAAAACCTTTAATACTTTAAATATGAAAAAGACTGCAGATCTATGGGCTAATTCTGTATATGTTACAATCTCCGTAATAGCTATTGTAGCATCTCTATTAGCTCAAATCTTTAATAATTGCGTTGACCGTGGTGTGTTTTCCGATCTTATTAAGTGTAGTAAAATAATGATGAAATGATCATCATTTCTCTACAGTACCTACCGTAGATCGTTTGGTGGAACATGACACTAAGGTTTATCTATGGTCTTACGCGTCCCAACATTACTACTCCTTTCCGCTTCGTTCCAGTTGATTCGATTGATAGGATTATCCTTTCAATTAAATCAAAAGCGGTAGGGTGTGATAACATTTCTCGTAACATGATTTTGACTTTTCTAGATCACCTCCTACCGGCTAATACTCATATTCTCAACTTTTCCCTGTGTTCCGGCTCTTTCCCATCCCTTTGACGTAAAGCCACTGTCCGCCCTCTTCCAAAAGTCTCTACTCCCACTCTTCCCAGTCAGTTCCGTCCGATATCCATACTTCCTTTCCTGTCCAAGGTGCCTCTGTCCACGAACAACTAAATTTATCAATCTTTTCACTTCTGACCTTCGGTGTGCGCAACATCTTTATGCAGACAACTTGCAGTTGTACAGTCAGGTACTGTGCAGGAGTACTGCTGGGCCGACTTTATCTCAAAAATTAATGATGGCTTAGCCAACATTAGTGGTTTGGAATTGCGGTAAACCCGAATAAGTGCCAGGATCGGAAGCACTCGATCTCTAGCTAGGGTTGACAGTGCATCTCTGCCAGCCGTCTTTTTCGACAGCGCGGCCGTTCCTTTCAGCAATTATGTTAAAGATCTAGGCTTGCACATTGACAGGAATTTAATTTGGCATACACAAGTCACTAACGTGTGCAAAAAAGTGAACCGGTTCGCTGCGGGCCCTTTACGACGTGAAAAACTTGCTTCCGTTCATATCACCAAGACAATGCTTGTACAGGCCTTGTTGTCTCTATAATAGATTATGATGATGTTTGCCACTATGATCTTAATGCAGATCTCCTCAATAAACTTGACCGACTTCTGAATAACCGCATTCGTTTCTTTTTCAACCTGCATATGATCATGTTTCTGCACATCGGTTGCAATTAAAGTGGTTACCCCTACGTCGCCGTAGGAAGTAAAGGGCGCGGAAGTATGGGCAAGGAGTTAAGTCCTGTAGATACAACTGTCTTTTTAGGTATAACCCTAGACGCGAACCTCCAGTGGGGCCCACATATATGTAGATGTGTTGTCGAAAAGGCTCAGTTCAACAGCGTATGACGTTAAAAAAATTGAAATTTAATAAATATCACGGTTAGTTTATTTTAGCTATTTCCATAGCATCATGTCATATGGTATGTGGTGTGGAGGAATGCTGCTGACATTCAATCTATTTTTGTTCAGCACAAGAGGGCTATTTGATCAGTCTATAACCTTAGTCCGAGGCATTCGCTCAGAGAATTATTTAAGGAAATAATAATAATGAAAGTTGCCTGTCAATATATTTATGAAAATACACGCTCATAAAAACAAAAGCCTATTTATGAAGTATACTAATATACATAATATTAACGCGAGGGGGAGTAATAAACATGTTGTTCCTACCTCTAAGTTTCAGAAAATAAGTGGATCCTTTAGATGTCAATGTATGCACTTTTACAATAAAATTCTTGGCGACATTCAAAATCTGAGCTTAAATAAATGTAAAAGTGTCATAAAGCGTAAACTTCTGTAAATCTTCTGGAAAGTACTACTACTGTAAAGCATTTTATAAAATTTAGAAGATAGTCGGCCTTAAAAATGAGCTGCTGTAACGTCTGCACAGGTCATGTTGACATGTTCGTAACAAAAAGTTACAATAAATTTGACATTGATTAGAAATATATATGTATTAGACATATGAACCAATGATTGTTATTTACCCCGTTCAAAACATATTGATATAAGATATCATTTTTTGAGAGAGCATGTAAATAATTTAGAGAAAAAATTTAATTATTGTAGAGGTGATAAGATGATTGCAGATATACTAACTAAGGGAACCACTGAGCATAAAAACTTATATTGTATAGCAAAAATGGGTTTGCGTTCAGGGGTGGATGTTAGAAATGGAACACAATCAAATAAGTAGTTCGCATTTTTGCCGCTGTGTGGCGTTCTCACTTCTTTTGTTTTTTTTACACATGTTTGTAACGCTTACGCTTTAAGAAATAAATTATACAAAAGTTAAAGTTAATACTTGCTTTATTCAATAATTCCTACAGTTGTGCGCTTACCAACACATTTTGCGATTCATTTTTATATTATAGATTTACAAAAATGAATCTATTGTTTCATTGTTTCGTTGAAAAAGCAGTATTTACTTAATCGATTTACGTTACATCTTATTAAACTGAGCTTGTTATAATAATATAATTTGTACTTAATTATATGGCAGAATGTAAATTTTACTCCCGCGACTAATGAATCGGTTTTCTCAGTAAATGTTTTTCTTACATACGTATTTATTAATATTTAATATTCAAATTTTGTTTCTTTAAAATAATATCTATTTTATTGTTTCGTAGCATTCCTATCTTGGATAATTTTGATCAATCATCTGCGGCTTTTTAAATTTAATGCTGTAAAGATTTGTATTATAATTTTTATTCGCACTGATTATGTATTATGAATATTGTATTTTTGAATTCCCTAAGAACTTATTTCATTGAATTGTTTCCAGTTTAATAAATCCTTAATGTTTTGAAACAAGACACCTTTTATTAAAACAACTTGATGATGTGTTTTTTTTTTTGTTCAAAGGAGTATTACGAATTGTTTGCACAAAATAAAGCAAAGCAGTTGTATTCAATCTTGCAGACTCTACAACTATAAACAAACGGCGTCATTTGAAAGAAAAAGCGCTTTCTACGTACGCTTAAGCTCTATTTATGGTAAAAAGGTACCTGTACCGATACTGCATACTCCAATTGGAAGCGTATTTGTATTCTGTACCAGTTACTACCACGCGGTTTCACCCGATAAAAGATGAAACTTAAGCTTTAAGTTTCAACTATAAAAGGTGTATAACTCCATCCCTCTTTCTCGCCCGAAAGATTATATAACGCTTTAACATGTCATGGTAGGCCCTCTGCTCCATCTCACTGCCCACTAACAGTCTAAACGTGGCCTTTGTGGGGTGCTATAGCCTGTGGCTCTGTCTATCCCACCGAGGATAAAGATGTCATCTTATGTATGTTAACAAAGTTAACTCACTGGGTGCTAGCGTATCCATGGGCGTACCGCAGGGCTCAATATTAGGTCCTTTTCTATTTTTAGTTTATGTGAATGACCTGCCCCATTTGTTCCAAAATGAACCGCATATGGTATTATTCGCTGATGACACTTCATTGATTTTTAAAATAAATAGACGAACAAACAAATATGACGAAGTTAATAATGCCTTAATGAAGGTTCAACATTGGTTTACAGTAAACAACTTATTACTAAATGATAAAAAGACTAAATGCATTAAATTTATTTTACCAAATGTTAAAAGTAACCTATGTGATGATATATTATTAAATGATCAGAAACTAGAATTTGTAAAAGAGACTACTTTCCTGGGGATCACTGTAGATGAGAAGTTGCAATGGGGGCCCCACATCAAGTCTCTAGCAGGACGATTGAGCTCTGCAGCTTATGCTGTCTGGAAGATCCGTCAGCTAACTGATGTAGGCACGGCAAGACTAGTGTACTTTAGCTACTTTCACAGCATCATGTCGTATGGAATTCTGTTGTGGGGACAGGCATCCGACGTTGAGTCTATCTTTATCTTGCAAAAGCGTGCCGTCAGAGCCATATATAACTTAGGTCGTCGCGAATCTCTCAGAGAAAAGTTTAAGGAGATCAACATTCTGACCGTACCGAGTCAATTTATTTATGAAAACATTATGTATGTTAGGAAGAACCTACACTTATTTGTAAAGGTATCTGACAAACATGATTATCATACTAGACATAGGAATAGATTGGGTCAGCCTTTATTTAGATTGGCAAAAGTGCATAAGTCATTTCTGGGTTTCTGTGTTAAATGTTATAATAAAATCCCAGTTGAAATTCAAAATCTAAATGAAAGCAAATTTAAATTATGTATAAAGAAACATTTATGTAAACTAGCATACTACAAACTAAATGATTATATACAAGATAAAAATGCTTGGAGGCTAGCTGGTCCTACTCCACAGGATGTTTAGAGGAATTTTTGATTTTAATTATTAAATTATACACAATATTGTTGATTTTTGATGAACTTCTAAGTTTTTGTAAATGTGAGTACCCTGTAACCTATTATAATTAAGTAAGACTTGTAGAATATAGGTACTTGTGTCGGCTGGGAGCTGTCATGCTCACTCAGAGGTCTCATTGGCGGTGGCACGGGCACTGGATCGCCCAATTCCCTATAATATGGTTGAGTTGGGCGGTGCTGGTGTACGTGTCATGTTCGTGAACGGGCGCCGCCAATTGGGACTGGTCATCTCCAGGCTGTCTAAATATGTTGTCCTTGAGGTTCACTTCTTTTTCGTACTTTTTGTCTGAACATTAGTGTTACATTGTTCTCACATGTCAGAACCGACTAAATTATGTAACAAAGAAATGTATTGTAAAACTGATAGAAAAAGAGTAACCATGGAGTTTCTTGCTCGTTCTTCTCCATAGGAATCTACACTTTGGAACGAGCAAATAGCTTCACTAGAGGACAGACGGACAGACTGACACGCTTAATTTTAAAGCTCATATTATATACTTTTTTCTTTTTTTTGACGAGCTTGACGTTCAAAACTGCCTACTGTGGTCTAATTGAAATAAATGATTTTTGACTTTTTTTTTTTTTGTATGTATTGTAAAATGATTATGAATTGTCTTTAGGTTTTAAGAAAGGTGTACATTATGATTCGCAATATTATTATGCTTTGACCTCATTAAAATGTCAGACAAAATATTTTTACTCTTTTTTATATTATGTATATAGTAGATAATTTCTCGATCTTTTATTTTATTTATATTTATTCATAATCATTTTAATTTAATCAATCATAAATTATTATAGTAGTGAATGAATTGTTAAT